ATAGCTAAAACATATCGATAATTGTAAGTTCATAATAAAAGCGAAAAACCATTTAAGAGTTTGAATAATCTTGAGCACACGCACGTTCTTAAGAAACGATAAGCAAATAAACGATAAAAACCACTAGATCAATCACAAAGATATGAGATTTAACGTGGAAAACCCACCTAAAACAGAAGAGAAAAAAACCAAGGGCACTAGCCAGCAAAATATCTTCACTATATTAAGGTGAGGTTATAACGCCGAACAGTGACTTACAAAAGGTATATATGAAGATGAAACCCTAAAGAATAACGATTCGTACCAGCTGGCCTCAACACACATGTTTACGCATACACAGATTGTATCTCCAAACCATTAACATGAAATTCCCGAGTTGTATCCGTGCTCACGAGTAGGCGGGCGCGTGGCCGCGTGGGAGTAGTAGTTGTGTGCATGTGCGTTTTACATTTAATCGTAAAGAAAATTTTCAAAACAAATATATACTCCCTCCGTATTTTAATGTATAACGTCGTTGACTTTTCGACCAACGTTTGACCATTCGTTTTATTCAAAACTTTTATGTAAATATAAAAATTTTTATGTCATTCTTAAAGAACATTAATGACGAATCAAGTCATATAATAAAATAAATGATAATTACATAAATTTTTTGAATAAGACGAATGGTTAAACGTTGGATAAAAAACCAACAGCGTCATATATTAAAATATAGAGTTAGTATAATATAGTAACATAGTAATAAAACAAGTCCCAAAACATCACTTATTCATGACCGGAAAGAGTGAGATTGTGCCATATATTCTCAAAAAAGAAAGTAAGGCACAGTCAAATTCGATTAAAATATAGAGGAATGAAATCAGGCTACTTTCTTTTTTTTCTTCTTCTTTATGTTGGTCCCATTTAATCTTATATGTCTCCCTTTGTTCCCACTTTTTGCATCAATGAGTGCTCACTTTCAGACTTTGGCCACTAACATTTTTTTTATTAATACACATTGCAAATGCAACATGCACTGTATTATTAAAGTACATGCAAGATAAGTTAATAAAATGATACAATTTTTTTAATCATAATCGAGCAATTTAGTAAAAAAAAAATACTGTTCAGAGTTAAAACTGTGATGGTAAATAATGCTGCAGTCAGCTGTGTAAATGGGAACAGAGGAAGTAGTAGTAATCTATTTTTTGAAAAGAATATCTTCTTATTCAGACCGAACGTAGGAAATGAAGACAGATGCATGCGCTGGAGAGTTTAAAATCCATTTCAACTTTGTCGTGGTAATTTATATGCCCCTGGGAGGCTGGGAGGATATTTTTGTGACCCTTTTGCGTGCACACATTCAAGGAGCAGTGCAAAATGTGGGTCACCAGACCAGCTGCATGCCTGCTACCTTCCTTTCCTGGTCTAACGGCCCAAATTAAAGCATACGTTGAAAGAAACACATCGTTCGAATGATCATCGATCTGTTACTACTAAGCACGCTATAAACTGCATGCGTAATACTATTACTTGCTTCAATTCGTTTGGCTTTGCCTTTGCAAGTGAAAAATCATACCAGTCACCACAGAACTGAGGTAGCAACAGTTGCTGCCGCTAAAAGCTGAAAATATGCAGCTCAGCTAGCTCTACATATCTCGTTATAATCCAGGAAAGGGTGGACTAATGTATAGTGTATACACGCTCTTGCACATAGTTCTCCTTAATTTCAGACACCCACCCCCCACACACAAAAGTATTCCTAGATGCATTATATTCCGATGCAGTTCTTGCTAATAATGCCTTTACCTACTCACCTCCCGTCAGTAACGATCGATCAACTTCTGAATGTATAGTAGCGTTACAACGCCTATTAAGATCGATCAACTTCTGAATGTATAGTAGCACTGTATACCACTCTGTTACTACAACGTACCAACTTGTTTGAGGGAAATTACAACAACCAACTGCCAGTCTGCCACTGAGAAATCAGATCAATGCATCACTTGGCTCTCGGTGACATATCCTTTGTTTAATTGGATGCTAATTGCTCACAGATCATCACTAGCTGCGGATAGCCAGCATTAATTCTCAAGAGTGTAGCACTGCGTTTTTCGCAAGTTGCAATGCAATAGTGTATAAACTCTGTAAATTACTCCCATGCATTCATCATCTAGATCATGCCTAGGCCGTAGTACACTGTGTAAGCGCAGGATATGCACAGTTTCTCTCGTGCAGTCAGTGGCATTTACACGCGAACTTAGTACGAGTACTCAGAGCAAAGTATAATGGTAGGCTATAAGCCGACTAAATGCTGAGGTGGAGAAGAGAAGAAAGGAGAGAGAGAGAGGAGAAGTGGGCTGTAAACTTACAGCCGGCTTGGACACAAGAACCAAGAAACTCTGTGAGAGAAACAAGTGGGCCCTGTACTAATCGTAAAGAGCTAACTATTAGAGCAAGTTTAATAGTATAGCCCACTACTAACTCCAAATCATCTATAGCCAATGTAATAGCCAATTCATACAATAGTTGCTTACTATACTATTAATACCTGGTCCCACCTGTCATATACACATTACGTCTTAGAGTCCGTGCTGTAGCTAGCTACAGATCTGCAGCCCGCTACTCTTATCTCTCTTCATTTATCTCTTTAAAATATGTTTATAGCTGGTTTATAGTTTACATGCTCTTATATAGATAGGCTAAGAGAAAACTACAAAAAAATTTTATAGCCAACAGATCGACTGTATTATTAGCCTTGCTCTCCTATGATTCAGCCGATGAGTCAGATACTCAAATGGAATCGATCGCCTAATCTTGGTCCCTCTTCGACGCCGACGATCGAGCTAACTCCTTAAATGGCTAGCTAGCTTAATTGCGACGAACTGAAACGATATTATTTGATGCTACTGCTAATTTTCTCTCTCGATGCAAACTGATGCTGGCCGTTGAAGATGGAGTAGCTAGCTGCAGTTTGCAAAATGAATATAGCAGTACATTCCTCTCTCTCTATATACACACACGCCGTATTTAGTTCTAAAATATTTCTTCAAACTTTCAACTTTTTCATCATATAAAAACTTTTCTACAGACATAAACTTTCAATTTTTCCGTCACATTGTTCTAATTTCAACCAAACTTTTAATTTTGACGTGAACTAAACACAGCCTATTAGCAGTACACATCGGCTTATGCACTGTCGATTATAATTAACATCAGCTAGCTACATCACGCCTACTCCCTCCCTCCCCCAAATAACTCAACCTTACGTACCACACAGTAGCAGTTACTGGTTGTAGGCTCGATGAAGCTAGCTAGACGAAGAAGATCGAAGAGGATGGCGCAGGCAGGTCTGATTGCCTCTGAAGCTAATTACTGACAGATTTCCTTGTTGGCGATGCGATATTGCTCGGGTTCGCGTCCAGAGTAAATTCAGATTCAGGCCAAGGGCAGTTATTAGAACATAGAGCTGCGCGGAAGCCTCGATCGAGCACCCGGGGGGGGGGGGGGGGGGGGACGACACATGTGGGTACCCTGCACGGACGCCGGTCTCCCGTCGATGGCACAGGGCGTCAGGGCGACGGACCATGGAATAATGGATCGTTGACGTCGTCGGCAATCGCCGGGACAAGCAGGAAATTAAGGGGCTATTATTTGAGAAATCCTAAGATTCTAAAAAATAGTTGGTTGGTAGTGAACTTTTAAGAATATGGAGAAAAAGCTGAGTTTTAGAGGCTTACAGTTCATTTTCTTGATTTTACAGCTACAGTTCCCTATAATCTGAACGAGAAAAGCAGATTGTTTAGGAAAAACTAGCTGCGAGAAACTCTCTCAAATATCTAAACGCGCTAGCTGCTGCATACGAACGACGCCATTGGTGGTCTCCTAGTGCTGATGGAGTTGAGAGTTGAGTGAGCGATGTTGCAATGCTGAGACTGTTCATGGCGATCGAAACGTCGAATCCAGGTCGTGCTCTACTGCTCTCACTGGCCGTCCGTCCGGTACAGCCGTGCAGCGTGAGAGCCCACGGCGGGTAGTGCGCCGGACGAGTCCTGCTCCTGGCTGCAAGTGACTGCACGTGAATGCGCGCAGCAACATAACTGCGGCGTGGGTAGGTGGGTGGGTGGTAGGCGAGCACGGCTGCCGGCGGCGAATGCGCGTTTCTGCTGCGGGCGCCGCGGGACCGCGTCTCCGATCCCTGCGGCGCCCATTGTACGTACGGTGGACTCCCTGCGCGCGGTTTCTCCTCCTCCTCCTGTATCTCATCATCTGATGATCGAGTCGTCTGGCTCTAGTCGCCGGTGAGCCCCACTGCACCCCAGCCACGAAAAAAACTAATTGTACAAATTACAACTAATTTACGAGACGAATCTTTTAAATCTAATTGCTCCATGATTTAACAATGTGGTGCTATAATAAATATTTGCTAATAATAAATTAATTAGACTTAATAAATTTGTCTCTCGATTTTCTTACGGATTATGTAAACATAAGGCATATCCAAATACATCGTCCTAGGATGGGTGTCATCCTATGCTAGGTTGCTATATTCTAGGACGGAAATAGTAGTTTTTTAATTAGTGCTCGAACACCCTATACGACGCCCTATATAATACTTGATGTAATATGCTAAAAATTTACACGTACATAAAAAAACACTCCCTAATTTCCGCGGTTGGCGCAGCTGGTTTTCTAAGCTGACTTGACTAGTTGATTTGATGGCCCCCCTTTGGGCCGCCCATGTCACACGTAAATTTACCATAGGCCGGATCGTAAAAAAAAAGAGCGGGATACTTCGGGCCGAAAGTAGTAGCAAGAAGATGGCCGACGACTACATGTGTTTTGGGCCAGGCTTATCTAGGTCTATTTTTATTTGGGCCACAATGCTGAGGCCCAAATTGGAACTATACCCGAAGGATGAGATACCGCCGTCTCCACGGCCGAAGCTTCCACTTCAGCCCCACGTGAACGAGAATCTGTGCGCCATAAACGAGGCAACGTGTTCCTCGAGATCTTCAGAGCCAGGCTGTTCACAGATCAACTAGACCAAGCTATAGCCATTGCAGGTAGATCGGGAGCTTGCTAGCTCGACCAAGCTGCCTACCTAGCTCGCGTCGGAATTAATGGCCGCGACCGCCGGCGACGCCGCCGCCGCCGCCGCCGCCGCCTGCCCTGCCTACCCATGGCCGAGCGACGGGTGAGAGCATGAATGCATGTCGATTGCTTTCGCTTGATCACATTAATTTTGCATGAAATTAACCACGTCGCGCGCGCTAATTAATTAACCCGGTGGAGCTAATTTTCTGATGTGATGTGAGCAGAGCCCAGCGCGGGCGCAAGGTGTTCATGCAGAGCGACTGCACGGCGTGCCACGGCATGTTCTCCTCCAACGCCGGCCTCATCAGCGACGACGACTCGGCGTGGGAGCCCAAGGTGGCGGAGATCGTCGTCGTGGAGGAGGCTCATCAGCCGGTGGCGGCAGCGGCGACACTCCGCGGCGGCGCGTACTACCCGGCGCCGGACCTCACCTTCATTGCAAAGGTAATTAATCAAGCACACACGCATTAAGGCATTAGCTAGTTACCTTCAATTGCTGTTCGTTTTGCCAAATTATGTCTGATCCCGTGTGCAGGGCCTGCGAGGCAATAACCTCTACTCCGGCGGCGGCGCCAGCGAGGCGGCGAGGATGCTGGCCGATGCCGCCGCGGCGTGCCAGGAGCTGAAGAAGCGGGCACTGGCTAGCCCCGTCTGGCTCTAGTTTCTTCGATCTGACTAGATCTCAACTCTGAATAATGCAGCCTGCATAATCAGCAGTTGAGCGCTGCTTCTGCAAATAATGTCCCCATCGATCGATGATCTCTTGTAGCAGTAGCTTCCTCCATTGGAGCTCAAATAAAATTAATTACTCCGCTCATATGGATACATCGCCGCCTATCAGTCGTCTAGTTCGTCGGCTGTCATTTTTAAATTCCTTTCTGTTTACTTAGACTTTCTGGCCGTGTGGCTACCGGCAGAGACCGAAAATATAATCAATTTCTATTTAAAAAAACATAGATGCTCTTTCAATAACATAAACAAACGAAAGGAGGAGACGATGCGATGCGATATAAATGGTTAGGGTGAGCTCTACTCGTGTTTCTAGCGCGCGTGCACCGAATAGCATTTCTGGTGGCTCTAATACGCTTTGCAAGGGAGAAAACGGCTTTGCCACCATACCATGTCGCATTCGCATAGCTGGCCGTGGCCCGTGGATCCGCTACCATCCACGTCAGCACGACGCCATCCATAATCGGAGCTCCTCGTTATCTGCAGAGAGAGGCGTCGGTCCGCTGCGCTGCTTCACAGTCGATCACACGCGCCCACTCGACCAGGTAGCTAGCTTGCTTGCTGCAGCTCTCTCGTCGGAATCAATGGCTGCGACTTCCGGCGACGGCGGCGCCGCCGCCTGCCCGGCCTACCCGTGGCCGAACGACGGGTGAGCACCGCGTGGACGCCGGCGAGTTCGTTCTCGCTTCCGGCCGTTGGCCACCGCATTTCGGGGCGCTAATCTGGTGGAGCTTTTTGTGAGCATATGTATGCAGAGTGCAGCGAGGGCGCAAGGTGTTCATGCAGAGCGACTGCGCCGCGTGCCACACCTCGCTCCCCTACGCCGGCCTCAGCGACGACGGCGCGCGCGCGCGGGCAGCGGCTGTGGAGCCCAAGGCGGCGGAGATCGTCGTCGTGGAGGAGGCGCGGCAGCCGGCGGCGGAGACCGTCAACGGCGGCGCGAACTCTCCGGACCTCACCCTCATCACCAAGGTAGCTATAATGGAAGCTTTATTTAGTCACTAAGTACTAAGGCTCAGGGTTAACTCTATCGGTTGAAGGTTTTTGATCGGGATCACCGAAATCCCGAAATTTCGGTCCGAAATTTCCAAAATTTTGAACAAAATTTAGTTGAATTTGAATAAATATTACCCAAATTCATGAAAAAATTTAAAAATTTCGGCCAAATTAATATCGTATCGGAGGGGACCGAAATTTTGGTCTGAAATTTCCAACCCTGCTAAGGCTGTGTTTAGATCAAAAAGGTGTAAAGTTTTGGCGTGTCACATCGGATATACGGACACACATTTGAAATATTAAACGTAGACTAATAACAAAACAAATTATAGAATCCGCCTGTAAACTGCGAGACGAATTTATTAAGCCTAATTAATTCGTCATTAGCAAATGTTTACTATAGCAACACATTGTCAAATCATGGAGCAATTAGGTTTAAAAGATTTGTCTCACAATTTACACGCAATCTGTGTAATTAATTATTTTTTCGTTTATATTTAATACTCTATACATGTGTCCAAACATTCAATGTGACAGGGTGAATAATTTTGCCAGGAGATCTAAACAGAGCCTAATAGCTATTTTAGCATACTGTTCGATCGTTTTGCCTATTTTAGCTTACTGTTCGATAGTTTTGCCGATGATCTGATCCAGCAGGGGCTGCGCGGCAACCTCTACGCCACCGCGGCGCCGAGGATGTTGGCCGGCGCCGCCGCAGCGTGCCAGGAGCTGAAGAAGCGGGCAATGGCTAGCCCCGTTTGGCTGTAGTTTCTGCTTGCTCCATGAAGCTAGCAAGCAGTGCACTAATGGCATCAGCAGTTACAGCACTGCTTCTGCTTGTAGCTTCTGGCACTGAAATAAATCACTCCACTCGTATGGATAATGGATATATCACCACGTATTGCATCTTGTGTTTTGCTCACTGTATCCTGCTGTAACAATAATAACATGAAGACACAAAATAAATTGGGGGAAATGATATGGTTTTGTATGCAGCATTTACATGTAAATGAGTGGTGTCTTTAGTCTGGAACTTCTAAAAAGGTACTCGTGCTATGTTACAAGTGTACACCATCGAGAGATGGATAAGCTAACCATGCCTGGCACTGACTTATTGTGAGTTTGTTCCTGAACTACAACTACAATCTGACACTGGTTACACTACAGCATAGTCATACTTTTTCACAAAAAAGCAGCAGCTTTGGATCTCCCTGAACGAAAACTTGTGTACCGAAGGAACAGCAACGCAGTTTCAGATCAAGTGGACAGCTCATACTCCCAGTATTTGGGATATGAATATGATTCTCATCTTCTACAGCCAATGAGCAAATCATGTCTGAATAAAATTGGCCCTGATTCTCACTTCCTGCAGCCAATGATTCAGCATAAGGCGTCTCTTCTGAAATTTCCAGATTATGCATTCATTTCTCAGGTTTTTGCTCTGCTGAATCAGCATCTCCTGTTTGTCCCTCGCACGTTTCCCTGTTATCCAAAACCTGAGTGGGTGCATCTAGAGATCTTGGTAATGCTCCCAGTTGTCTTAGGCTCTCGCTCTGCTTCTCGATTATCATGGCGAGGTACTTGCTGTGTTCTTCTACTTGCAGCTGCAGCTTTCTTTGGATCTGTGGAGAGGAAAATACAAGGGACCCTATACATTAGTCAAACGCACAAAATCTGGCGTGTTCATTCCCTTTTGCAGTTCAAAACAAAAATCAAGTATCTTATTATTGAAAGAATAAGGGCACCTCAAGTTGTTCGTGAAGTTGTTTCTGCAAGCCAATCTGGACCCTTAATCCTTCACAGGTGGTTTCCATGCCTCTGTAGTAGGTACACAGTCAAGACTTTAGAAAACACTGGCACACGACATATATTTGAACTTAAATTCATCCAGAGATAAGTTAGGAAGAAAATGCAAATTCATCCAGGTCGGAGCATAGATGTGATATTATGCTCCACTACTCATCTAGGCCAACACATGATATTTATAAAATTTCTAGGACTCAGAGATATATATCACATAAAAATCATCTCACTTCAAGGGCTGAGAAGAAACTTCATCCGTTTGGCCACTTTTCGCAGATTCACCTATGAGAAAAAAATAAAGAAAATTGTGTAAAGCTCCAGATCGTTCAAATTTACTTCAAATTTAAATAGGCACAGCGCATGATAAAATTCAGTCTCTTAAAGATCAATATATAAACTCTAATAGCATCAACAACATAGTACGGTCACTGCAACATTCTAATTTAGTACAATGACCGGCATAGTGCACCACGTATCTTGTTATGGTGAAATTAAACCAAAATTGAAACATCGAAACACACCGACCATCAGATAGTTGAGGTCGATGATGAACTGTGCGATACTTCTGCACAAGAATAACCCATGGCCATCAGGAAAAATCAAGAAGAGTCGTATAAAAAGCATTGAAAATTCAGAAGCAACAAATGCAGACCTGTAGATGGCTTTTTACATGGTATATAGTTAAGCCGTCAACCTTCATAACTTTCTGGACAGCTTTTGGAGTTGCTTCTGCAAGAGAAAAGTAAACAGAAATGAAAATAGATCTAGGAAAACAGAGACTTGTACTTGTTTCTTCTTGTGAAAACAGCACTGTTCCGTAAAAGTTCAAGATGAAAATATGATAAGAAAAACAGAGGATCAGGGACCAACTTTCACTTCCACCAAGCTTGTTAACAGCATCAACAAACCGCTCATGGAGCTCAGGTGTCCATCGCATCCTTGGTTTGGTTGGAGCAATGTTTGAAGAAGCGATATTACCAGAACAAATTTCATTGAAGTTGGGAGGATTTGATGTATTTCTCTGTGCATGACAATGCAAATAATTTGAAGGTGTTGTACTTGTCGCATCAACAGCCTGGAAATGAGGGGAAATGTTATCTAAAATTTTAAGTAGACCAATGAAGAGCTGGTCTAAATTGCCGTACAGGCTGTGAGAGAGGATAAGAAATCATGAAATAGTTAGTGCACCATCCAAAAGGGTCAAATCAGATACCTTCAGCACAGAACCAGCAGACACCGAACTTTCCAAATACTGCAAGGAAGTGCCAGATGAGAACCACTCATTTTGCTTTGCAAGGTTGGTGCTAGGACTTGCTGCAATGTTATCTTGTATTTGTTGGTCAAAAATAGTCATATCTTGTTGATCGAAGAAATCAACACTAGTTGGACAAACAAATGGTCCAGGCAGTGGTTCTTGACTCCAACTATTCTGTTCAGATACTTTAGGATAAACCATCCTTAAAGAACTTGGATTACCCTTGTATAATGACTGTGTTGGCGGCAAGGAAGAATCACATCCAGAGGTATCAATAGCATATGATTCAGAAGAAAGCTTGCCGTTAGGTGATTCACTTTTGTTGATATAAAGATCTGATGTAAAGTTGGAAGCTAACATACACATTGGAGTAGAAGCATCAAATGAGTTGATAGAACTACCACACTGCTCCCTTTCGATATAGGATGGTCTATGCTCTGAAAAACTAGGAAATGTAACTTCAGAGAGTTCTGGTACTACAGTTATAGCTGGCGAAAGATATTGGGGAACTTTTCCATTGCGAAGCTGATTCATAGTTGATGTAGGCCTGTTTCATGTACCCCTAAGATGATTCACTTCAATCTGTTAAAGTGGAGCTCTGGTCATATCATCAGCCAAATGCAGAAGTCTATTACATCAAACTTGAAAACGAAATAAGTTTTCCCTGGTCTTGTTCAGATATTAAAAGTGTTTTTTTTCCACATAGAGCAAAGATTTGTCTTACAACAATTCGTAACCCAACAGCTAGATATATTTCTATGACTCCCAAATAGTGATTTGGTGAGCACTTAGAAGGGTGAACATCAAGTATGCTGCTATACATCTTAGCAAAGAAAATTGTAATTGGACCAAAATATACTGATGTGAAGAGTGAATAGAGGGTAAAGAGAAGTATATTTGAAGAAGCAAAAAAAAAGAGGGGCGGGGAGGGGCACGATTGAGGCATGAATGGAACATAATTTTGCAGAATTAAACCACTGCTCAAACAGAAACAAAGAAAATGAATGCATTAAAGACTTGAATAGAACAAGTCCCGCCTATTACAGTGATTCCCAAAGAAACACACTGAAGGATAGAAGGAAACAGAACAACAAAAAAGAAAATCTTAGAGAGAAATCAGACAAAAGATTACAGAAATGAGTAATTTGATTTGAATTCTGTGTTGCTAAATCTAAATGGTTAATTGAACTTTGTGAAGCTACTTACCAGCCTATTCCCAGAATGAAATGAAAGATGAAACAAAGGTCTGAAACTAAGAGTCTATGATCCTCTTGGGGGCTAAGAAGTTTAGTTTGTTGTGTGTATCTTGGTGGGTGGGGTTATGGTTCTAGAGAAGTACTTAATCTGCTAAAGTATCCAATTTTTTTATAACCACTAAACGTAATGATCTGTTACTACTTAAAAATTATCTCCATTTTATTTTGTAAATGGGACCACAAGGACCACTCCTCTGTAATGTAAATATTAAACCTACCAGCTATTACATGCACCAACCATCCCCAGAAGCAACCAATGCCAGATTCCTTCAGTTTTTACAAGCTTTGAAAGTATCAAAAGAGATATAAATGCTAGATTAGTAGCACAGTGCACGGACCTATGGCCTCAGATATGTTCACTTCTGCTTGCATGGTCCAACCAAAACATGTATTTCGTAAACCGAACTATAAGGTTGATTAGTTATAGAGCTGTAATAAAAATTCCAATACAGTGAACTCTTCGCTAGCAGTATCTGCACATGGTACCTCTACCTTGACAAGGCTTTTATTCTTGGTGAACTAACTGTGTGGATGAAGCAATAATCATAAAAGAATCCAAATAACAAGCTTGCAATCTAGGAGTATTTTTATGGCTACTAGGCGCCTTGGAGTTGACAAACTCAATTTGGCATGTAACGGAAGCTTTCATTGAAAAGCTGGCCTGGCAACGTCTTGTTCTAAATTAATAATTATGTTTGCCATCATCCAAACCTATAAATAAAGAATAGCAGGAATAGAAAACTGGAAGTTTGCACAAAATTCTATTAATTGAGTTTTGGAGTTCTGATCTGGTGCAGGTGGAATCCAGAAGCACTAAGAGGGAAAAAAAGAATTGACCAAAAAAAAGTCAATCAAAGCATTGTTTGGATTCCAGCAAGTTATCATAGGAAAAAAGAAAACTCTGGTTGATGCCTTATCCTGCTGTTGTTGGTCTCCCTTGGATTATAGATGCTTTACAACTTTAGTAGGGCTACAATAGAAAGAGAGAGATGGGATGAAAACCCAAATAGGGAGGAAGCTAATGCCTTAAGCTTATTGTCAGTAAAACCACAACTGTTGAACAAGTCACTCATAAGGTTTCAGTTTAATTGTTCAGAAAACAAACAAAAAGGAGGACAAATATGGCACTGATAGATCACCAAAAATCAACATGGCCTGGACATTCATCATAGCTTCTCAACTTAAAAGGCAAACAGAGAAGAGGCAAAATCTATTCAATATCCAGTTTGACAATCTGCATGAACTGTCAGTCAATGTGTCATCTGGCTAAATTTTCCATCACGCAAAAATGTATATCATACATGGAAATAACTACAGCGGTCAGTTTGGAAAATAAATTACTCTGAAATATCAGTGCATACTGCAAATCTCCTGCACTGTCTTGAACTGTGGCCCATGGCTACTGCCACTACTGAATTGTCAGTTGAGTTCTTTGAACATGGAATGTGTAGAGACATTGAATCCTTTCAGAAATCTCACCTAGAATGAAAAAAAAATAAGCATGCTTGGAAACATACGAGCAATTTGAAGTTTGAGAAAGAGGGTAGTTTTAAGTTATGGCTATCAAATAACTTACAGTTCTTTCATTAAAAAAAACACAAATTTACTTACAGTTTTGATGCTGGTCTATTCCATCTCCTCCGCAATTGCATTTTCTGTGAAATGAAGGATAAGAGCTGATATCACAATTTGCAAATGTAACATAGCCTGCATAGACTCAGCTGTTGGTAACATACCGGTCTTTGGAAGCAGCTTCACCGAGTTGCTTATCTATTTCAACAAGGTATATCTTAAACAAGCTTGACCTATAGGATCCATTACAGGCTAAATTACCATAATAATGATGCCACAGAACAGGCCATAGCATAAGGTGAAAAGCAAGCAGCTCACCGTGGCGGCATTGCTGCAGCAGTAAGAACTGGAGGTAGAAGCCATAATATGTACGGTTCGCTCTCTAATGATTGCCTTGCATACTCACAAATATCCATCTCCTATTGGAGTTCAAAGGTTCAGTTAAAATATTACTTTCTTTAAAGAACAGCGATTAACAGCTTTGAGAAATAAAGAACTTAAACAATTCTTGCCCACTGAAAAAATAAGAGGTAAATAATGACCACACATGAAAGGACTTGATCTGGCCAACATTATGCCCGCTAAATATTTTTTTTGTTTCCTCAGGTATCTCAGAAAGGCTGCTTGATCGTAACCAACAAAACCAATAGGCAATTGCTAACTTCTAAAAGTAGTTTTTCACAATTATTGCAACATCAGAGTAGTGCCCTCAATAATTGACATAATGACGCTTTGATAGTACTGACAGTTCAAGTGTACTACCACCATTCCAAAATATAAGCATTTCTAGGATTCATATCCTGTACCACAACACAAGCATGTCTACCACCATTTACACTACTTGTCCCATCAATCACTTTCCGTTCAAATTTCTTTCCGTTCTACCCTCAACCACTATCCCTCCTTTATTGAGGGGCACCAAAGTCTTTTCTCCTCAACCTTAATCTCTACTAAAAAAAACTAGAAATGCATATATTTTGGAACAGGGGAAGTAGCTTTTAGAAGCTGTTCCCAAGTTTGTATAGGTATTCGTTTGGTTTACATGGTCATGATCACTTCATTTCAAAAGGTTCCCGCAGAAAGTAATGTTCCCAACAGATGGAAGAATCAACAAAATCCATCAACAAGACATAAAATAAAAATAAAAAGACCTTGAAACCAAGAAGCTTGTCTTGGCATTCATCCTGAGTTGTTCCTTGAAGCAACTGGTGCAGATCAGCATATTGTTTTGATATAGGAAAGGAACTAAAAGTATGTGACATGATGCTCTCTATTAATGAGTTCCATTGCCTTGCAACCAATCCCAACAAGCATAGCTCCTATAATGCAACACAACATATTGGTATTATAACATAGATAATGAAAGTACTGACAGAGTCTACGAGCAAAGACTAATACATACCATGACTTCAATGATGCCACTTTGACTAGAATCTGCAGAAACTTTTAATGGTTCAAACAATCCCATCCACTGCTCCTTGGGAGCATTAAAGATCATATTAGTTCCTGACATGATCCGAATGGTACGCTCATCAAGCAAGTACGACAAACACTTTGCTTTCCATTGCTTCCACAGGATAAACTTGTCGATGATTTGTGTTTTCCTGTGTTAATAATAGTTTTGAGTGAGTTCAAACTGGAGCCTGCTATGGTCTCAAAAAAAGGACACAGATATATATGGATTAACAATTGTAACAATATAGAAATTTGGGGGATTAAGGGATTACATACTGAGCAGTTGCTGAGGTGCACAATGTACTTCCTGCACTATCAAAGCTGTCCTTTTTCATGCTTTTTAGAAGTGTGTTCAGTTCTCTCTCAGCCAAAGAAATACACGATCCTGAATCCAGCTTCTTCTGTAGTTCTTTAAGTAGAATCTGTGAATTACCCGTAAACAAGGATTCTTCACAAAATTCATCAGAGCTAGTGGAATGTCCAACATCACGGGCATTCTTGGTTCGCATCAAACTAGGTAAATTCATATCTAAAATCGATTGCACATACTCTTGGCACACATTGCATTCACCACTAGCAGAAATGCCATCCATATCCATCTCAACAACTGCTTGAAGTACAGCACCTAAATTCTCCGCATTCGTTGTTTTCAGAAAATGCTTCACAACCAACTCTCTTGCCATCGCAAGTGTTTTTGATCGGATATCCTCAATACCCTGCATGACACAGGGTAGAACATCACTACATGCAAAATCAGAATGGATGCAGCCAAGAAGCATCTTTTCAGAAGCACCTTGGGGAAATTCGGGCTTGAAGCGAGTTGAACGAGTGCAGCATCGAGCTCACTTGCAGACTCATCGTACTGACCATCGTCACGCAGGTTCTTGAAAACCTGAACACAATGCAGGAACATGTGTTAACATTTCAGTTCTTCACAACAACAGAAATTCTTCATGTGGTCAGTGTCTGTCCATTAAAGTAGGAAAACCCCCCTCCTAAGCAGCATTGAGAACGATGAACTTCCAATCTACACGGCCTTCCCCCGAGATGCTGAGAGAATCATGGCGTCGGAGGGGGCACGACGCAAACCTAAACCCCAGTGCAATTTCATCAACAGAGATCAACCATACCTCCTCGAAGAAGAGGGCCCATTGGAGGGCCTTCTTGACGTCACCGGAGCGCCAGGTGGCGGCGGCGCCAGACGAGGTGCGGCCGCCGGCGAGGACGAGGACGTCGACGAAGCCCCGCACCAAGCCGAGCAACTCCTCCATGGCCACCGTCTCGTGCGCCCACCCCATTTGCGATCCCCTTCCTCACAATTCCAACTTTTGGAGGGACTAGTAAGCAATAAGTACAAAGTTGGTTATTTCTACTTAAGCCCCTTAATTTATTTTGTTTCACATATTCTCACCCGTGCTGTTTTGTTCATGTTAGTATAGTAAGTTAAGTAAAAATAATAGTGTGTCAAGGGGGTAAAGTGAATAATAGCAGCAAAGCCCTAGAAACCCCGACTATATAAGAAAGAGAAGCCGTCCCCCTCGGCCGCCGCCGCCGCCGCCGCTTGTCACCCCTTCCGTTTCCAAGATGTCGAAGCGAGGTAAAATCTCTTGCTCCCTCCCGATGATTTCTTCTCCCACATGATCCTCGATTCTGGTCTCGTATGCTAGTTTAGTTTGCGCGGCGTGATGCTTCGATTTGGATGCGCAGACATCTGCTGTGGATTACCGTTTCTAAGATGCAGAAGCGGTTGTTCGATGCGTCAATTGCTGTGTCGCTAGGATCTTGTGCAAGTGTTCGAGTAGCATGATTTAGTCTGCTTGTCGCTTCAAGGGTGGTGACCCGTTGTATATTTTGAAGGCAGTGATGCGTTGTATAATTTGGAGATGTGTTGCTTTTAGTGTTACAAGGAATGATTTAGTCTGGTTATCTGTAGTTAGATGTGGAGAAGATTTTTGTTTAGCTGTTTGTTGACTTAGGTTTGTTAGATCCCTGTATGTGTTAAATTCTTTTAAGGACCTTCGGAAATGAACATCCTTCAAGTTTATGCACGAATTCTTTTAGATGTTTGTGAAGCTGCATCTTTATAGATCTTTACTAGTTCAGTTGCTATTGATTCTTCTACTTCCTATTCAAATAGTGTGGCTAGTCACATTTCTCAAGCTAAACCATTTTAAATTTTCCCTGTGTTGTTATTATCAAATGAGAATGAGGCGAAGCATATACCCTTTGAATGACCACTATTTTGCATCAATGATTTAGATGTTTTGGACCTAACTTACCTGGCTGCTATTGCTCTTTCTTTGACCGCAGGGCGTGGAGGTAGTGCTGGTAACAAGTTCCGGATGTCACTGGGTCTGCCAGTGGCAGCCACTGTGAACTGTGCTGACAACACTGGAGCAAAGAACCTTTACATCATTTCTGTGAAGGGAATCAAGGGACGCCTTAACAGGCTTCCTTCTGCTTGTGTTGGGGACATGGTTATGGCTACTGTGAAAAAAGGGAAGCCTGACCTGAGGAAGAAGGTCATGCCAGCTGTCATCGTGAGGCAGCGCAAGCCGTGGCGCCGAAAGGATGGTGTCTACATGTACTTTGAAGGTACTTTCTGTTTCCATGTTTTGGTGCGCTTCATCTTGTGTTAGTTATTTAGTCAGTCAACTAGCTGCATGCTTCTTTTTAATTCATATACTGTTGAATTATAACTGAAATTGCTTGCTTAAGGCCTTGTTCGGTTGATCCTCATGAGGGAGGGATTGGAGGGGATTTATTGCACACCTATTGTGGTGTGGAATTATTCCCCCTCAATCCCCTCCAAACCGAACAAGGCCTAAGTGGAAGGCATTTGCACACGACTTTGAGCATGTTACATGATAGTTGGCCAGACTTTTTTTTTTCAGTTTCTGTAATTCTGTCTACCAAGATAGGATTCAGTTTTAGTGTCATTGTTCAATTTAGAGAGAACCTCCTGATGGATAAATTAGATTGTGTTTCTGCATTGTCATTAGTTAGCATAGAGCTGGAATGCAATTTGACCTGAAATAGACATCATAGTATGTTATTATCTTGCATTATGCCACATTTATCATTAGGCATGTGTTTCATGAAGGAACTTACAAACTTTGTGGTCTTCTTTTGCTCTTTCAACTGTATGTAATGTCCGAGTGAATTGTGAAGCTCTTTCATTTGTATAAGTAATATGTGAATGAAGTGTACAGCTCTTTCATTTGTAAATAATATGTGAATTATTTGTAAATTGCTTAATTCGTAGGATGTCTATACTTTTCTGTGTTACCTGCTGTTCTCTTGATCCTTTGTCTACAGAATTACCTAATCACAGGTTTATGGGTTATGGTTCAATTCTAATGTTCCTTTGGTGTCACATTTGCAGACAATGCTGGAGTCATTGTGAACCCCAAGGGAGAGATGAAAGGTATTATCCTGCAAATTCTATAATTCTACACGTCGCAACAAATATGTAGTTGAAAAGCATGCTGAATTTTTTTATTGAAGCATCGAGCCATATTTTGTTGCACTTATACATGACCAGCTATTTCCTTTCTTGAAATCTTGTACTACAAAACTAATAATGCATAGCTTCACGATTAGCCTGACCTTATAAATATGCACTTCCATGATGCAGGTTCTGCCATCACTGGACCTATCGGAAAGGAGTGCGCTGATCTCTGGCCCAGGATTGCAAGTGCAGCAAATGCGATCGTCTAATCGAAGCAGCCATTGAAAGTTCCATTAGCGTTTTCTCTTCTTGAAAGAGTTAAAAGAGCTGCTAGTTTTGTATCGACCTTAAAAATAGTTTCCCAGGATTATGTTTGTGCCGCTGGATTATGCCCCGTTAGCTTCTTTAAACACATTTGAGCAATATGATATGGCACTGATGCCTAGCCTGACATTTGGTCCTAGTTTAAAACTTAAAGCTGTCTTGGAATTTCGATGACGCGTGCCATTTTTCCTGCAAAGTGTCTTTTTTGGTTATATACAGATGCAAATTGCTAATCAGTAGTACTTACAACAGTAGTATGCGTGATTTTACGTTTACATTTGGTCAAATTTTCGAATCGAATCGACTAAATTTCTACCAAGTTCTCTTTAATTGGCTCGTACGGGTTGCGCTAACAATTTGGGCCGTGTACGTGCTTGTGGCTTATTGGGCCTGGTCCTGATTGGACTTCCTTATCTGTCTATCACACACCACCTGAGTCACTGACACGTGGGCCCCATCGCTCTCCACCCTCCACTCCTCCCAAGCAGGCAGCTCCCCGCTCCACCGGCGAAACCGCCGAACCATGCCGATGTGGTCTCAGCCACCGCCGCCGCCGTCTTCCCTCCAGCTGCGGCGGCCGCCGCCTCCCTTGCCCCACCGTCCCCGCCGCCTCCGCAGCCGGCTCAGCCCCATCGCCGCCTCGCAGGACCCGCTGACCGCCCTCTCTCGCCTCCTGTGGGGCCGCGCGCTGCCTCCCTCCCAGCTCGTCCTCGCCGTCCGCCATGGCTGGACCGCCGCGTGGGGCCTCCTCATGCGGCAGCTCGCCCCCTCCGACCCGGCCACCGGCGCCTTCACCCGCACCCCGTCCCGCTTCCCCGCCGTCGTGGGGACCCCCAGCGCGCGCCTCCACCTCTACGTCGGCCTCCCGTGCCCCTGGGCTCACCGCGCCCTCCTCGTCCGCGCGCTGCTCGGCCTCGAGCGCCGCCTCCCGCTCTCCGTCGCCGTCCCGGGGGACGACGGCGCGTGGTCCTTCACGCCGGACAGCCCCGACGCGCTCTACGGCAAGCGCAAGCTCCGCGAGGTGTACGCTTCCGCACGCCGCGGCGGGTTCGAGGGGAGGGCGTCGGTGCCCTTGCTGTGGGACGCGGAGCGGCGGGAGGTGGTGTGCAACGAGAGCATCGAGATCACCAAGTTCCTCTGCGACCTCGCCGCCGCCGACGGCAGCGCCGGTGGCCTCGACCTCTGGCCGCCGGAGCTCCGCCAAGACATCGACCGCTGGTACTCCTTCATCTACCCCAGCGTCAACAATGGCGTCTACAGGTACAACCAAAAAAATCACACAATTTATTGAGTTGTATGTGCCGACAATTTCAACTCAAAAGTTTAAGCCGATGAGAAAAGATGGGCGATTCACTCTATATTTCAGGATTCGAACTCGAAACCTCTAGCTCTAATACCACATATGCACCGACTAGTTTAACCAAGAACTTAAGCTATAAGAATAGTCGGGCAATTCACTTTATATTCCAACACAATTCCTGAAAATTGCAGCAAGAATCTAACGCAGCATTGCTACGATCAAATTGCAGGTGCGGGTTCGCGCAGAGCCAGGAGGCGTACGACGCCGCCGCCGGCGAGCTGTTCGCCGCGCTGGACCGGCTGGAGGATCACCTGTCGGGGTCCCGCTACCTGTGCGGCGACACGCTGACGCTGGCCGACGTGTGCCTCTTCACGACGCTGGTACGCTTCGACCTCGTCTACCACTCGCTGTTCCGGTGCACGAGGCGGAAGCTGGTGGAGTACGCGAGCCTCCACGCCTACACGCGCGACATCTACCAGATGCCCGGGGTCGCCGGCACCTGCGACATGGCCGCCATCGCCGACGGCTACTTCGGCGCCCTCTTCCCTCTCAACCCCGGCGGCATCCTGCCCCTCGTGCCGGCGAGCTGCAGCCCGGAGGCGCTCCTGGAGCCACATGGCAGGGAGGCGCTGTCTTCTTCTGCTGCTGCTGATGCTGGTGGTGGCGGCAATGGCAGGCAGCTCGAAGCAACGAGTGCTTCCAACTAGTGGCAGTAGACAGTAGTTGTGCAAGTGCAACATTTCGTCAGTAAATTTTCGTGTGCTTCTTTGTTATTACGACTCTAGTGTAAGATTTTGTAAATCAACTGAAATTGCTGCTGCTGCATGAGGATCATCATACTATCCATCCTAAAATGTATATATACTGATTGTTGAGGAACAGGAAAGACAATTTGATCTCTATTATACTTTTACTCCTTCCATGTATGTATATACTGATTGTTGAGGAACAGGAAAGACAACTTGATCTCTATTATTCACCTTACAATTGTTTGTTTATCAATCAGTTCCATAGTTCATATCCTCTTGGAACTGCAGTCCGTCTAATATGTTTGCAAATACTATGGTTGCTCCTCTTAACTAATCTAGCAGAAATCCAGCAGAAATTGCATTTGCATTTGTTCGAAAAGTGATATCCCTGAACACATGTTAGTAAAAGTTTAACCACAGTCTGTTGCACAACCAGGTACAAGGTCAAATACGCATACAAGTAGCCGTTATTTCTGAAATATTGTGATCAGCAACCATACTAACATGGACACAATGAAGCTTTGTAGGAAATATGTCCAGCATTACATGTTGGAGTACAACTGCTGACAAGTATCTCATCTATCTGTATTATGATACAACTTCCAGTCAACATGCAATTAGCAGGTGCTCTTTTTATTTCGAAATGTTTCATTTTTGTAAATAAAACAAATGCTTCTCATCATCCAATTCAGTTGTATATCCCAAAACAGATGCCCAGGGTACAACATTTGCCTATTAGCTATAAAACAGGCACCTAACATTTAACCGTGAATATATTAAGGTCTATATTCAGATTGCCTGCACTGGACCCTTTATTGTCATTTTCTTGTATCACTGCCGTCAGCTTCCTTGTAGAGTTTGTGTTCTCCAATATACTGGATGACTTCATCACATACAAGATACTTTATTGATAGGCATTTTTTTATGCATTCTCTGCAATTTGATTGTGCATAAACACATGACTCACATGTCAGTATCCAACAGAGGATGTTGGGGATATTAGAATGCCGTATGATAAACCTCAAACAAATGCATGAAAGAACAATACCTTACTCTAGACGAACTTATTTGATTTGGAACAATCTCATCAACTGAAATAATATTATCCTGAAAATACTCCATAAAGGGATAATGCAAACGTCATCAGAAAAGAAGACTAATCTACTGTAGTAGTATAAGCTCCATAAGCTAGTCATTCTTACCCTGCATTCGTTCAGTATCTCACTGCTGGATATTATTTTTTCAACATCTTTTCCTTCTCTACGTATGCAAATAACACCAAAGTCCTTACATATGATCCTGACCTAGATACAGAAGAGGGTGTCATCAAAGCAAGCTCTTCTGTGAATAAGAATCACACAGAAACTAGATATAACACTAAGAGTTAAAATGAGCACATAAGTTCTCTATATTGACACCAGAGTTCGACGTTTACACCTGATCAGGAATCCAAACTCCTGGGGTGCTGAATGATTCGAGCAGGTCGGAACCACATAAAAGCATTACATTGGGACTACCTGTGTCATTTTTTATGTCAGTACATGTTGGACTTGGACATAATTGATTGTATCCAAGACAAAGATGCACTGGTTCACATTATCCAACAGTATGTTGAAAAAGGATTTGTTATCTTCTAAAAAAACTGGTTGCTAGATACCTCCATCAGCTAAACCATCCTTGGACAAAGCATTCCGAATTCTCGAGAGAACAGTCAAGGTGCGTTGGAAACCTTTCTGCATTGCCTACACCAAGGACACACAACATTCTGTACAAGAAATGCTACAGAATCCACCAGGACGTATAAGCTGAATGAAACAAAGTTACCTCCCATCGATCAACCATCACAAAAGATGAGCTTTCACATGCTAGTTCGCATAAGCGAATTCGGTGGGCTGCAGATAAAAGGCCCTAATCCGTTCCAAATCTTAAACTCAATCAAGAGAACAGTGGTGATATTTTTTAGATAATGGATTAAGAATCCGGCCTCTACACCACAAGGAGAACAGTGGTGATGCCACACATTACCTTCTTCTTGTAAGCATCGTTCACCGGAGACATGTAACCACCCAAGACAGAATACCCTCGCTGCTGCAATTCATCCTTTGCCAGTTCTAAATGAAACATATCAGACGGGAAAAAATAATTAAAAAAAACTTTCTTGCTGTAATTATCAAGCTGTTCATGGGACAACACAAGCTTATAGGCATAAAAAATCAAACAAAATTTAGAGGCTTACCAAACATGCGCAGGTGCATGTAGGTGGGAGGATTGAAGCTCCCGGTGGCCACGAGCACAGCCACACCTCGCTTTCCTCCCTCCCTACCACATCAAGATCGAATCAAGAGATACATGGAAGGATGAGACCACCCATCAAGCAACCAACAACAAGCCAAGATCGGATCTCGCTACCTGCCCGGATCCACGGCGAGCTTCTCCGTGGGGAGAGGCAACTCCAGCTCCTCCATGGCCGCCCTCCAGTACCTGCGAAGATTCTCAACTGCTACGAAATTTCGACTCCGCCCTAAGGAGGTCCGGCCCTCACTTCCACTGATCCTCTCAGTATTCCGTGGCCTCCTTGGTCGCCGGAGCACGCCGCCGAGCTTTGCTGGAGCCGCGCCGCCGGCGATAGGGCGGAAGAGGAAAGAGCGAGCTCGTCGCTTCATGGGCCTAAGTTGGGAATAGCCTAGGTGGGCCTTGTCTGCTTAATAGGCCTCATCTACTTAGTGGGCCAAAAGGCCTACATGCTTTTTCATTCGAAGGCCTATATGTTAGTTGGGCTTGACCTCCTTACTAAACCTAACCTCGAGCAGTTGCGCTCTCTCCTTCTTCCTCATCTCCCTCGGCGGCGGCGGCGGCGGCAAGCGAAGGAGAAGGCGAAAATGGTGAGGAGAATCGCGGCGAGCGGCGATCGATGCATCTTGTAGCGCCTCTCCTCGCGTGGATCTGACAGGGATTGATCTGGTTGCTTTGTGTTTTGTTCTTCTTTGCGCAGGGCAAGGGCACGGGGAGCTTCGGGAAGCGCCGGAACAAGACGCACACGCTCTGCGTGCGCTGCGGCCGCCGCAGCTTCCACCTGCAGAAGAGCACCTGCTCCTCCTGCGGCTACCCCGCGGCCCGCATCCGCAAGTGTAAGACGAGATCCTCCTCTCTCTTTTTTTCCCATGCCCACCCTCTCCTTTAATTAGCTCTTTGCTAGCTTGTTGCGATGTTGATGAGTTTTTCGCGCTCCCATCAGTTCAGGCATGTTGATTGCGCTGTTCCTGTGCCTAGGCTATGCTTGTGGTATATCACGTCCGAGTTATTTTGTTTTTTGATGTGGGTTAGGAGATTTATCATTATACGTTTGCTTATATTGTGTCGCATTTGCGATAATACTAGTAGGTTCTGAACATGCGAGAGATTTTGTAAAGACGTGAAATGCAAAACTGTACTGGTTAACTGGTAGCGTTTGTCATTATCGAATTACTTCATTCTGTTATGTTACTATTGTCCGGTGTACATAGTTGTTGTTCCTATATGTTACTTTGCATTGTCAAAGTATTTGTTACATCTACTGTTGATAATTGTGGCAGATTCTTTGTGACTTGCAATCTGTTCTGATTGAAAGGAAGCAGTTTGTGTGGGGATATGTGCTTTCAGATTCTTGTTTGTTTCAATCAAATTACTCGAGTTGACATCTTTTGGCCAATCCCTTGTGTCCAATTACGAAGTTGTGGTTAGGTAGATTATCATAGTGTGTTTGCATTTAATCTGGACTGTTTGGGGGAGCTAGAGATTCTATGAGAAGCTGCAGCTGCTAGAAGCTCCCCAAATATAAGCCCTAAGCCTGCTCGGCTCCTGGCTGCAGACCGCTGCTGCTGCTGCTTGATGCAGCAGGTCTCTTGCTGTTTTCATTGATGAAGTTTGATAGAATCTGCTCAGCTCCTCTGATATGTAGTTCTGACTACTTTGATTCTTTCTCGAAATTTGAAACACAGACAACTGGAGTGTGAAGGCCATCAGGAGGAAGACCACTGGAACTGGGAGGATGAGGTACCTTCGCCACGTGCCCAAGAGGTTCAAGAGTAACTTCAGAGAGGGTATGCTTATATCTCTTCTTGCTATGTTCTATCACTTGTTCACTGATTATTTACTACTCCATCTTTTTCACAATGTAAGTCATTCTAGCATTTCTCACATTCATATTGATGTTAATGAATCTAGACATATATCTATCTAGATTCATTAACATCAATATAAATGTGGGAAATGCTAGAATGACTTATATTGTGAAACGGAGGAAGTATATTGCAAATGCTGTAGCACTTGTTAATTGATTATTGCAAATGTTGTCCAGGGACTGAGGCTGCACCAAGGAAGAAGGGGGCTGCTGCTAGCAACTAGACTGCACTTGTTGCGCTAAGCTGGGAGACCAGTGTCTTTTTGTTGCTTAATTTATCGTAACTCTATGTTCCTAAATGAGGCAAACGATGTCTGGTTTTCTGTTATTTTGCATCCTGGATGTTAATCCTTGAGTTTTGAATGTTAGATCGTTTTATCCGTTATCATCGCTCTCATACGCATTTATCGTTGCTGTTGTCTATGTGCAACTCGCTGCATCGGTTTGCAATTTTGGTGATGCGTGAAATACTAGAATCAGTATTCAGAAGTGGGGATTGTGCATGGTCCATCAGGCTAGTTGGCTACTCCCTGTCTCTGCACAGGCACAGAGCTTAGCTGTTTGCTCGCCTTCATGACATTTTTCCCTAGTCCAACATGTATCGCACATTCTTGTGTTCTATTGCTCATGTGCTCATGTTTCTTGTGTATCACGTGCAAGGCTAAATTTGCGCTACAGTAATATGTTTACCATACACAGATAGCACTTAGTACTGCCAAACAGCATGGTTTGAACTCCTCCCGTTTCTTCTATCGTTTAATTCCAATAATTCAAAGCACACCAAAATACTCCTGTCTGAGATTTAGAAAAAGAGTGCAAAATAAAAGGAAATAAATGAAATTGACAATTGCTACGGGTGTATAAATCGGATCATTGTCACAGCTCACAAACATAGATTTCAAACAATAACGAATCGTACCTGAATTGAAACCGCTCCAAATAGGCAGGCAGCATCTGCAAGATCGAGCTGTAGAGCCAACTCGTACGCGCCATACTTGGTTCCCTCCAAATTTGCCTCTCCTTTTAAAAGCCACGCGGCGTCTCAACCTGCTCTCCCTCGTGTCGTTGCTTCGTTCGATCTGCACAATGTCGGCGGGCGGCCGGCACCGCGACGACTGCTCCGCGTCGCCGCCGCCGTCGCCGTCGCCGCCGCCCTCCACGCTCCTCCAGTTGCTCGAGGTCACCGTCATCTCCGCGCAGGACCTGCACCGCCGCCTCGGCCGCCGCGTGCGCGCCGCCTACGCCGTGGCCTGGGCCGACGCCGCCCACAAGCTCCGCACCGGCGTCGACCTCGCCGGCGGCGCCGACCCGACGTGGAACGACCGGTTCCTGTTCCGCGTCGAAGAAGCCTTCCTCCGGTCCGACACGGCCGCCGTCACCGTCGAGGTGCGCGCGCCGCGGAGGTTCGGCGGTGACGCCGTCCTCGGCGTCACGCGGATCGTGGTCAGCACGTTCGTCGGGTCGGCGTCGTCCTCCGCGCGAGGCACCACCGGCCGGCAGGTGGCGGCGCTGCAGCTCCGGCGGCCGCGGTCGCTGCGGCCGCAGGGCATCGTGAACGTGGCGGTGGCGGTGCTCGACGCCACCGACGCGCGCGCCGTGCCGCTCTGCAGCTCGCCGGACTCCCCGGACGCGTTCTCCGTGAAGGACCTCCTGGTGAGGAGGCCCGGGTCGCTGGCGAGGATCGTGGAGGTGAGCGAGACGGAGGAGGCCGACGACGAGCCGCCGGCGGCGGCGGCGGCGGTCGTCGAGCACTCCGGGGCGATGGACACGAGGGGCTCCGCCGTGGAGCAGAGGAAGCTGGAGCTGCTGCTGGAGAAGTGGAAGGCGGATCTGTCGCCGGACCAGCAGAAGGAGAAGGCCAACAGCCGCCGGAGCAGTGGGCCGCGGCGGCATCGCCGGAGGAGCTCCTGCTTCGGCGGCGGCAGCGCGGAGTGGGAGAGGTGATCATCACCCGTGCTTCACGTGTACTGATCGTCTGATCGCAAGACTGCATGCTGCGAATGCCCATCTGTTTAGGGTTTTTTTTAGCAGTTATTTATTTTTTATTTTTGCCAGAGATGTTCATTCTCTGTTTCTTTTTATAAAAAAAGAAGAAGAAGAAGAAGAAGAAGAAAGAACTTGCAGGACATTAAGCAGCAAGGGCAGAATAAAATGCTGCTCAGGCAGTTCTGTAGTGGAAAAAAAAGGTTATGTAAAATGTGTCCAAATCAAGCTCTATATTCTTTCGATGGACAAATAAATAAGCAGGTTTACTAGCGGCATTTGGGTATAGATTAACTACAGCCTTATTATTTTCATTTTGTAAAAATTGCTGTTTTCGAGCTGTTTTATGCTTACTTTTCAATAAACTGAATTATGCAAAAAGAAAAAACACCATGGTAATGGAGTGAGTTTTTTCCTGGATGTATTATTTTGAATGTACGCCTTAGGACACGTAAAAATTGATAAAATTAGAAATACTCCATCCGTATTTTAATGTATATGACACCGTTGACTTTTTGACCAACGTTTGACCCTTTGTTTTATTCAATTTTTTTGTGTAAATATGAAAATATTTATATCGTGCTTAAAGAACATTTGACAATGAATCAAGTCACGGTAAAATAAATGACAATTACATAAACTTTTTGAATAAGACAAATGGGAAAAAAGTTAACGGCGTCATACATTAAAATATAGAGGTAGTAGTTAAAAAAAAGAGTAAATTGCACCAACGTTACAACAACTGACAGGTCTGATATAGTAATAATGGCGTAGATGGATAATAATAGTTACTCAATATACAGAGTACAAAACAGAAAAAAAGATTATATACTATATCCAGTCCTACTTTTTAATATCTAAACAAGGGATCCTTTGCTAAGCTAAACACAGTAGAAGGGAAAAAAAGGGGGAAAAAATCTCAACAGAAAACGCATGATAAGTGGAGGTGATGAACAAGAAGCAGAACCAAGGGCCCACATGTCAATGGCCCATAGTAAACCACCTCTTATCCCCTCTCGTCCTCCATCTCTTCCCACTGGCCTCGCGCCCCTCCACATCACACACACGACGCCATCGCCATGGCCAACTCCAGCTGCCCCTCCACCTCTCCCGCCGCGCTACGCCTCGCGCGCCCCAAGCTCCCGGACTCCGCCATGATCATGCAGCTCCAGCTCCAGCTCCAGCACGCGCCCCTGTTCCCCCGCCCGCCCGCGGCGCGCGCGCACCACCACCACCACCACCAGCGACGCCTCCTGCTCGCGGTCTCCGACCACGTCGCCGCCAAGCCCGTCACCGTGCCGGTGGGGAGGATGCGCATGCGCGCGGCGACGGCGATGGTCTCGCAGGAGGAGGCCGCGGCCACGGCTGTGGAGGAGCAACAGGAGGAGGAGGTCGAAGAGGAGCAGTTGCAAGAGGAAGACGGAGCAGCTGTGCAGGAGGAGGAGCAGGGCGGCGTCCTGGAGGGCAGCTCGGGCGGCGGCGAGGCGGAGGCGGAGGCAGCGGGCATCACCACCAAGCTCTACTTCGGGAACCTGCCGTACAACTGCGACAGCGCGCAGCTCGCCGGCATTGTGCAGGACTACGCCACCCCGGAGATGGTGGAGGTATCGTACACCGTCACCGTCTTCTGCTTGATTAAATGCTTAAGTGAACTTATATGCAGTAGACACATGCTTGCTTGTGCTTAATTCGTTCCTCAGTTGGTGAACGAAAAAAAATGGTGTTTATTTATTTGTTTGTTTTTGTTTTTGTTACCGACATGAACTCAATAGTAATTCCCAATGTTGGGGTTCAGAGAAATTGAAATTTTGTTGCAGCAACAAGCCAACAATCCAACTCAATGCTAATTAACAAACACAAGCACCGTTCTATGTCTGTTCCTAGCGTAAGAGTAAGATACATACCCGAGCACCTGACACGTAAGTAAATGATCATGGCTCATCAGACTAATTGCTTATTTTTGAGACATGCACCAGAACCTACATCGGCAGATTAAATTTTATCTCTTTTATTTTCACGAACATGCAAAAGCTTTGCATATCAATATATTAGACAAATTAAACTTTATCTCAACATCTGCAATTTGACTTCAGGTGTTGTACGATCGGGCGACAGGGAGGAGCCGAGGCTTCGCGTTCGTGACGATGAGCACCATCGAAGACTGCGAGCAAGTGATCAAGAACCTCGACGGCAGCGTGAGCACTCTCAATCTCTCATGATCAATCCAACCATCCTCAATCGATCAATTATTCAGTTCTGTTCCTGAAGGATTCGATTCGATTCGTTTCAGCTGTACAGTGGGCGCACGATGAGGGTGAACTTCGCGGACAAGCCCAAGCCGAAGCTGCCGCTGTACCCGGAGACTGAGCACAAGCTGTTCGTCGGCAACCTGTCGTGGACGGTCACCTCGGAGATGCTGACGGAGATGTTCCAGAAGTGCGGCAACGTGGTCGGCGCCCGGGTGCTCTACGACGGCGAGACCGGCCGGTCCCGTGGCTACGGCTTCGTCTGCTACTCCACCAAGGAGGAGATGGATGAAGCTCTTTCCTCGCTCAATGGAACGGTAAATGCACCTTCATTCCACCGTTTTCTTTCCTCCTTGATACTCTACACCCAAAAGCTTGCTTAGCTTGGCATGACAGTGAGAGTAGATTTGTTAAGCTTCCAAATGCCAAATAAACGGATGGATGAATTCCAGTTAAATGTGTAGAGGTTAAGTGGTTCACATCACTAATAACTTCGCAAAAGAATTCTTGGAATGAACCTTGAATGCAGTCCTAGGCTCGAAAGGAGATTTGCTTAACCTGTCTTCTCATGTATCTGAAGAAAAGCCTTAAATCAAGTTTTATTAAGATGGTTGTTGACATCCTTACAAAGTTAACTGAACGACAACGTATTTTGCAGGAACTAGAAGGCAGGGAGATCCGGGTCAACCTCGCCCTTGGAAAGAAATAATCAAAGAGTAATAGATTTACTTCACATGCACAGGAGAAACTTGCAATACAATGCAATGCTGCCTTCAGATGCGATTTTCAGGCAACCATGGATGCAGCGATTACTTGTTTGAGCGCATCGCAAGACGGCAAGAGCAGGCACAGGAAGAATGTATTGTTCTGAGTTACAGCAGATGTATCTCTTTTTTTTAACGAATCAGATGTATCTTTTGTATGCATGGGAAATTTATTAGTTTCTATCAGTCGTTTATCTGATAGAAGCTTGACTGAACATTGAACAGTTTTAGTCTGCTGGGGTTATCAGTCAGTTCCATTCTCTTGGAGCTGCATTTTTTCAGTCTGTTTTATCTGTTTGATTATCTGAACTCCAGCAGAAATTGCATTGGTTCTAATTGATATCCCAGAACACATTTACGAAAAATGTAACCTTTTCAGTTCACGAAAATCTTAATACTGGGCCATGCATTCAGCCATAAAAAAGATCCATATATACTCCGTTCTGTTTTAACAGATGGCGTCATTGAAATTTGACATAGTATTTTATCATTCGTCTTACTATCATTTATCATTTTTTTATGTTTTATCGTTAAAAAAATTAGGTATAATTTATAATTTAGCATATTTTTATTAACTTTTTAATGAGTTAAATGACCAAATGTTATTTTATGAGTCAACAGTCTAAATCCTTCAAAAAAATCAGAGGTAATATATGTTGGGCCATAACCTTGACAGAAGTGTGGCCAATTTGGAAGTCGGAACGTGGGCTAAGGTTGGCCTTCAATCATTGACACTTGGACAGAACAAATCAATATACTCCAAATCTCAAGATTTTTGGAAAAAGAAAAAAAAAAGAAATGAGAATAATCATGCCACATGTCACCAAACGATTGGCTCCGGGGCAACCGTCTTCCCGGTCCACCACATCCTCGGCCACACTTGACGCCTCCCTCCGCGCCACTCACCACTCCGAGTCCGAGGCTCCGAGCAGACGAGCCGAGCTGAGCTGAGCAAAACGCCACTCACCACCATGGCCGTCTCCACCACCGCCTCCAACCTCGTCCTCCGCGCCGCGCCAACCACCACCACCACCCGCCGCCGCCGCGTGGCCGCCTCCGCCGTGCGGTTCGACCGGCGCTCCGCGGCGCTCCTGCTCCTGTCCGCGGCGGCGGGTGCGGCGCCGACGGTGGCGTCCCCCTCCCCCGCCAACGCCGCTGGCATCGGGCTCTTCGGCATCAGGAAGAAGCTGGAGCGGGCGGAGGAGGCGGCGGCGGAGGCGGTGCGGGAGGTGGAGGAGGCGGCGGTGGAGGCCGCGGAGGTGGGTGGGGAGGCGGTGAAGGCAGCGGAGAAGGAGGCGGCGGAGGTCGCCGGGGAAGGGGTGCAGCTGGTGGCCGGCGCGGAGCTCGCCGGAGACGGGCTCGTGCAGGCCGGGGCGGTCGCCGCCACCGAGGCGCTCGGCGTCGTGGTGGGCCTCTCCGTCGTCAATGGCATCCTGAGGCCTGAATCCTAGAGAGAGAGAGATCACTCTGCTGCTGCATGCGTAGTGCTCTGTAGTTTAGGCCATGGATGGTTTCAGACTTTCAGTGAAGAGCTTAACTGGATGTGATTATCTGCTGATGACTCTGTGGGTGTAAATTAATTGTCATAGAGTGATGGATCATGGTGGTGTTCATGTTTAAACTGGCCTTGAAATTTTTATTTTTTTATATTTTTTTTTGCGGGGAACTGGCCTTGCAAATTTGTAATGGCGAAACTGTATTGCAGTTCATATCGAAATTCCCTACGTTTTGTGATGTACATTTACACTGGGAAATGCTATGTATTACTCCAGATAAATAAGATTTTATTGTATTTTGAACACAAGAGACTCGACCAGTCAAACTGCTTGAAATGTACTATTACTTCAGATAAATTCTACAGAATTTTTCAGCGAAATTACATGGCTGATCGCTGCATGCTTTGTATGGCTTTGATGCACTCAAAATGAAAACCCGATTTTGTTTGCAATTTTGCACATCATGGTGGCATGATGTACAGTACAGACTATACACGTGTTTCTGTCAGTACTTTGGTTCATTTTAGAAAAAAAGATGAGAAATTTGATTTTGGACAAATTCCATTGGAAGCAAAGAGATAGCGTGGGCCCTTCCACCACTCCAAGCCCAGATGTTTCGGTTTCCAAAACAAAAATCTCAACATGTAAAATTAGAACGAAAATTGAGGGAAAAAAAAGAGGTGAAAAAAAAGCAGAGCGTTTTCGAATGGCCACGGCCGTCCTCCGCCGCCCACTCCTCGCCGCCGCCGCCGCCGCCGCCGCCGTCTCCTCCACCTCCTCCTCCTTCCGCCCCTCCCGCTTCCATCTCCGGCGATGTAGATACCCACCCCCTGTATTCGCCGTCTCCTCCGACTCCCCAAAGCCGGTTACCTCCTCTTCTACCGGCGGTGACAACCCCGACGAGGAGCCTGTCCTTCCCCTCTTGCAAGAACTCGCGGTGAGCACTCTAGTGGCCCAAATCTATGTTTGGATTCGAAAGTTTTGAATTCGCGGGCGTTTTCTCTTTGTAGGATTGCTTGGTTCTCCCGCCCAAATTCCTGTCCCAGCTTCCCCGCGACCTTCGCCTCGATGTAAGCAGCGATTGCCCTATCTCCGTTGAATTCATGCCTATGTTTTCTAGTGATACGATTTGGCTACTTTTTTATTTCAAACTTAGCACTCTCGAATAGCAGCAATGATGCAGTGATACAAAGTTTAAAGTGTAACTTGTGAACACGAGAAATTCTATTTTGGGTTAACAAAGGTTTATGTGGTTGTTTGTTGAAGCTCAATGATGCGGCATTTGATCTCTCCAATGGGCCTGTTCTTGACGAGGTAGGTCCGTAGGTACTAATGAATTCGATGTCCTTTTCAAGCAAGAACTCGATGATTATTAGATCTATGAAGGCCTATTCTTTGTATCAAGAAGTTTTCGTTTTTCTCTGTGGAGAGATAGTGTGGCCAAGAGGTAGGTGATCTGCTGCTCAACCTTGCAAAGGCATGGGAGATGGCTGACACATCGACATCAAACAACCTTGTCAAGCAACTTCCTTCAATGGAACCCTACTTGACCGGCAGTGCCAAATCAGGCATGGATTGGATTCATATTTCTTCAACAGTTGTGTTTTATGTAGCATAGTTTCTTGATTGAAGGATGTGTCCCTTGCTGTTTGCATTACATAGTGTAGCATTTGGCAAGCGGCTGATGTCAGCTGGAAGGAGGTTTACGTCCATGGGACAATACGGCAAGGGAGAGCTGAAGAAGGTCTAGGCACTGACCCTATCCACATTCTATCCATGCTGTTGTTTTGTTGAATTTGTTTCGGTACATTTGCTTATTGGTCACTAATCATTTGATCATATGTTCAAACATAAATCATGTAGAGGTTAGTATGTTGCGATTCAGGGCAGTAGGAATGTTGCTTCCATTGAGCATGTAGGTAAAACTGGTTCCAGTTCGATGGAAACATCTGTAATGTGGGTGAATTAATGGCAAAAATCCTACCTATGGAGGCAGAAGAAAACCTGTGAAATTCATTGTGTCATGGTTCTCTCATCGCTAAATTACGTTACAACTCTGTAGTCACTATCGGAAAATCCCCTCTGCATTGATTTACTGAATTGTCAAAAGGTATGACCACATAGGTATGTGTGCAAATGTAACACTTCTTTTTGTTATATCTCTGTAGATTGCTGAAACAATGAGCAAAACCGGTAAGCTGCTATCAAAACGTCCAGTAGTTCAATCTGAAGTAGAGGCTATGAAAGTAAAAAGGAAATTGAAGGTAAGAGCCTCTCTGCAGTTAAATAATGGTTAAGGGAATTATTCTGAATGATATAGTTCTCATTCCCCTACTTTGCCAGTTTTTAGAACTTGAGTTTGAGTTGACAGCAGAAAAGGCAAATATTGGAGCTGCAGTTGGACTTGTTTTCGGGTAAGAGCTGACTCACTTGGCATTCCTTCTATTGAAACTGTGAAATATCATCCACAGGTCTGTGGATTTGATATCGTCAACGCTTGCCCATGCATATATGTTAAAGAATTCACCCTATGATACTTACTAGGGGGGACAAATCTGATGTCAGTGATACGGTTCCATGCTGACAGATTTGTTTTCCCAGCGTCAAACACCCTGGGGGCTGTTAGTTTATACCAACAGATGGATGGTCATATTTAATAGTTCAGACATACCCATTCCATACTAAGTTAATTCTTTATTGGTTCTCTCTGAAGAAAGTGCTGCACTCGAATAGTCAAATACTCCCTCCATTTTTAATTAGATGATGTCGTCAAATATAAAAAGATGGAGGCAGTAGCTGGTTTATCATATGTCTCCTGAGGTTCAGTACATCTACCATATATATTTGGAGGTGAATTCAAGACTTACAGCATCTCAAATTCTTCTTGTAAAACAGATTTCTCTCATGGCAACTAGCACGTGGTATACAAAACATTCCAGACGGCTCAATGCAGTACGCAAACGACAACGCGTTGCAGATGGCCAAGGTAACAAAGCATCATAAACACCTGAAGATTGTGTAGTAAGTTCCATGTGATTTCTGCATCCTGCTAACCCCTGCTATGCTCTTCCATCCAATGCAGTCACTCAAGGTCTCACTGCTTGTTCTTGGCTACACATCTACTGCCCTCTCTGTTTTCACATCAATCGGGCTGCTGTTGCTGGCGCAGCAGATCAACTCTGATGACAAAACGGAGTAGCTGCCTACCAGTTGTCTGAAACTGTCGATGTGCCATTGTGTGTGCTCTAATCAGTGGATCATGATTTCATGACACATTCATAGCGTTCTGTTGTACCAGTGTAATTAGCAACGCAACTGGATAATCTGTGTATAAATTACGGAATGTTTCTGTACAAGAATTTTAAGTTCACATTGTTCGTCAGTGACTTCTCAAGATCTTGAATTGAAAGGTTGAAGCAGCTCAGGACTGACTGACTACAGACTTACAGTTACAACTTCAGAGGATGTGAATTATTCATTTCTCTTGCGCACTAACAGTTAGTTCTTCAGTGGTTTTGGGATGAGATCCTAAAAATATCACATCAACTAGATTATTAAGAACAAATTGATTAATATTTATACATGCTGAAAAGCTTAAATTTGTTACTACTGCGGGCTTGTTTGGCACAGCTCACCTCTCCTGGAGCTGAAGCTCAGCCAAACAGTTTCAACTCCACCTAAAATGAGAGCGAAGTTGGGTGGAACTCTCTTACAAAATGAACTAGAGAGGTGGAGCTGGATTTAGGCTGCTTCACAACTACATTCTAGACCCGACTCCTAGAACTAAATTTAGGAGTTGGAGCTCTGCCAAACAGCCCTGCTACTACTACATGGTTAAGGGGGGTGTTTAAATCTAGGGGTGTAAAGTTTTTTTGTTTCACATCGGGTATTATATAGGGTGTCGTATGGGGTGTTCAGGCACTAATAAAAAAAAATAATTACAGAATTTGTCAGTAAACTACGAGACATTTTTTAAGCCTAATTAATCCGTCATTAGCAAATGTTTACTGTAGCACCACATTATCAAATCATGGAGCAATTAGGCTTAAAAGATTCGTCTCGCAAATTAGTCGCAATCTGTGCAATTAGTTATTTTTTTACCCTATATTTAATATTCCATACAGATATTCAAACATGGTGAAAAATTTTAGGGTGGGATCTAAACAGGGCCTAGGAACAAAACGAGCATCACATGCTGATCTGCCAAGCTGGCTAGCCCTAATAATTTGGAAATGCAATATTCCAATATCCAAAGTGGACCCGGCCCAATTAACCCAACCAAAACCCACGCCCACCTCCTCTCCCCTTCTCGGCTGCTCTTCTCCCCCTCCCTATCCTCTCCTCTCACCTCGCAATCACATCCTCTTCCCTTCTCTTCTCCATCGCATCTACCACCGAGCGTGCAAGGAGGGGGGGGGGGGGGGGGGGGTGAAAATGGCTTCCTCGACCCAGGGCCAGGTCATCACCTGCAAAGGTAACCTCTTGGTTCCCCTCTCTTAGTATCGTGGATTCGTGGTGGTAGATTTGCTAGTGTGCTAGAGTTGGATGTATGGTTGCTGTTTCTTGGAGTGTTCTTGGTTTGATCTGGAGTGGGGGATCCCCGGTGTGGTGGTGGGTGCAGCGGCGGTGGCATGGGAGGCCAACAGGCCGATGACGATCGAGGACGTGCAGGTGGCGCCGCCGCAGGCCGGCGAGGTCCGTGTCAAGATCCTCTTCACCGCGCTCTGCCACACCGACCACTACACCTGGAGCGGCAAGGTTTCTCTCTCTCTGTCCCACCGACTCTTACTCGCCGTGTTTCTTCGAAATCTAGATTTCTCGAACTCGCCATTTACACTGGTAGTAGGGTAGTATACTCTTTCCAACCACGTATCTGGTGATGGTAGTTGGTGACCGCACTGGATGGAACCCGATTCATTTTTTTGTTTAATTAGTGGATTAGTATTTAATTGTCAAGTAACATCGTTATGTTATTGTTTCAAGGATTTAGGTGTTTCTTCAGATTATTATGAATGGGAAGATTAAACAATTTTGTACTAGAGGACTCTGGGTTTCTTCTAGGCTTCTAGCTAGCGTTGCATGAGTTCGTCCTATATTTTTATTTTCCTTGACTGCAAAATGGGTGTAGATTGATGGCAATCATCTGTAGGAAATCAAAATTACTGGCAGAAACCTGGAAGTGTTGAGTATTTCTACAGTGGTCTCTACTGGCAAGCAGTAGACCATCAGTATTCTCGTCAGTAGTAGCATCTAAACCGTTGACTTGAGTTCTACTAGTATAATACAATATTCTACCGCCAGTAGATTACTGTACCTTGTGGCAAATGTTGGCAACATTATTATATACCAACCAAACAGGCCCTTATCAAGTGATTTACGTGCCATGCAGGATCCTGAGGGTCTATTTCCTTGCATTCTTGGTCATGAAGCTGCTGGGTAAGCATATAGATGTGCTAATTACATATATGATCATGCACAGCTAAGATAATTGAGCATCGATATGTTTCTTCTGTTTATGTTTATAGAATTGTTGAAAGTGTTGGGGAAGGAGTAACTGAGGTGCAGCCTGGGGACCATGTCATTCCTTGTTACCAAGCAGAATGCAGAGAATGCAAGTTTTGCAAGAGTGGAAAGACCAACCTCTGTGGCAAAGTTCGTGCTGCCACAGGGGTCGGTGTCATGATGAATGATCGCAAGAGCCGTTTCTCAATAAATGGAAAACCCATTTATCATTTCATGGGAACATCTACATTCAGCCAGTATACTGTTGTGCACGATGTCAGTGTCGCAAAGATAAACCCACAGGCACCTCTAGACAAAGTTTGCCTGCTTGGCTGCGGTGTTTCTACTGGTAGGTTCTTCATTGGAGGCCAAACTTTTATTCACCAATTATAGTTCCTTTTGTACCTACTATCATTTTGTAGCTTTACAAACCTTACATGCAGAGCTCGTTGGGTTGTTTGAATGCATTGTGCTTGATTTTTTTTACCATATTTCATAAATATGGAAAGCCTCACTATATCTGTGTCAATGATACCTCCAAATTTCCAATTATTACTTTTCTTTTGGTACACTGGATACAATATTACATACCATTGCCTCGCACATTCTTGTTATTCTCTTCTAGATAATTATGATATATTCGTATGTGTATCTCACAAATTACTATTGTTAGGCCTCGGAGCAGTATGGAATACCGCAAAGGTTGAAGCAGGTTCCATCGTTGCTATTTTTGGACTTGGCACAGTTGGACTTGCAGTAAGTCAAAATATGTCCATGCACATTTAACATGTTAGTCTGGAAAGAGAGCTTTGACATCTAAGATTTTCATTTTAGGTTGCTGAGGGGGCAAAATCAGCTGGTGCTTCTCGGATTATTGGCATCGACATTGATAGCAAAAAGTTTGATGTCGGTATGTTTCATAATTTCCATTTTTCTGTTTATTGCACCTTTTGGTTGGTAGAGTAAAGGGCATATTCCACTCTCTTAAGTATATCTGGTGAAAGCAGGCAATCCATGTCTGGTGGTGCAACTTGCTAATAGACCTTTCTCTCTTGAATCGAACCTGAAAGTGCAAATCTACGTATTGTTTGATTATCAACAAATACTAGAATAAATTCCAAAGGCTTACTATCCCTTTATAGTAATTCGTTTTTGACTTGCAAAGGCAGTGATGCACCATCAACAATTCCTGAATTTGCCACCATTGTATTTGTCTGAGTTGTGATAGGAAAGATTTTGATCTGTGATCCATTGTTAACTTGTTATTACCATTTATCCTCTTTTGCTTGCATGCACCTTGCTCTTATTAATCATCACATTGCTTTTCGGCATCAGGTCCAGAGATCAAACTTATTATTATTTGTTTATTTCCGCCCATATGCACCACAAATGTGTTCTTACAAATTGGATGCTTTGTATGTGTTATTGAATGATAAAGAATGTATTACATTGCATGAGTTATTTCATAAAAATTGTCTGCAAATCAAACATAGCTTATTTTCCAACTCTTTTTCTGCTGTTATTGTTTGCAGCAAAGAACTTTGGGGTTACAGAATTTGTGAACCCAAAGGACCATGACAAACCAATCCAACAGGTCATAGTTGACCTTACAGACGGTGGTGTGGACTACAGCTTTGAATGCATTGGAAATGTTTCTGTTATGAGGTCTGCATTGGAGTGCTGCCACAAGGTAAGCTACGGCTGCAGCTTTTATTCGGACATCTTTGTGAATTTTGTCGCCTGGTACAAATTAATGACAAACTTCAAAAGAATTAATAAATTGAGTTGAATCATTTGGTGCGGTAATGTCTATTTCTAAATGAATTAATGACATTTGATCTGAATCATATCTTAACTGTGTTGCATTGTCATTTGGATAAACTGCTTTTATTTGAAATACAGCGTATCTGTTTTTATATTTCCATTTATAGATCAATCATACTGTTTTCCACCCATCACAAAGTAAAATATTTTCGCTTTCAACTGTTAAATTTCTGTGGGTATTACTGTAGGGCTGGGGAACCTCTGTCATCGTTGGTGTAGCTGCTTCTGGGCAAGAAATCTCTACACGACCATTCCAGCTCGTCACTGGCCGTGTCTGGAAGGGAACAGCTTTCGGCGGTTTCAAGAGCCGAAGCCAAGTTCCATGGCTCGTTGAGAAGTACTTGAACAAGGTAACAAATCATCACTGTCTAAACTCTAAACCTGCAGAAGTTTCGTCAATCTGTAGTGATTCATCTGACCAGAATTCTCATGTAATCCGCACAGGAAATCAAGGTGGACGAGTACGTTACTCACAGCATGAACCTGACTGACATCAACAAGGCGTTTGACCTGCTGCATGAAGGTGGCTGCCTGCGGTGTGTTCTGGCAACTGATAAATGAACCGATGATGGTTCATCTGCTTTTGGCTGTGCTTCTGAGCTATGTCACGCCAAATTGTAATCCAGATCTACCAGCCTTGGAAATTGAATTATTCTGCTCGTTTCGCTTAGAAGCACTTTGAACTGTGACACCACTCTGCTATAATAATATATGTGCTGTTTGGATCTTTGGGGATGATTGCTGTTAGAACATTGCCGTGATTTTGTTGAATAAGCGCCTCTTTGTCATGTTTTCTAAAGTAGAAGTTCTGCACTATTACCATTAGACCTACTCCCACCGTCATATTTTTGTACACATCAGTTTTTCGCTTACAATTTAAATTTTCAACCTTAAATTTAGAGTTTGTGCTTATGCTTATCGGCCACACGAAGTTTATTTTTCAGTCTTTGCTTTTAAATCGCTAAGAACATGTATATAAAAAATTTATTAACAAATTATTTTTTGTTTACAAATATACCGGCCAAACGATGGAGCTCTATAGTGTCCAGATTCAAATGTTAGGACCGAGGAAGAACAGCACAACAACACTAGCCAAAGGTTGACGTCTAGACGATTCACATTACATGATTATGTACGCCTAGTAGAGCCATGGACGTTGTTCCCTTTTATATCTCAAGTTCAAATCCTAGGATTTATCTAAAACAGTAGAGCCGACAATAAGATAATCAAGATTCAGTAGGCAAAATCGAGAATGCAAAATTGTGCTCCATAAACTTAGAATCATTTCACCTTTATGGGAAGACAACATCACAGCATTACAGTGTGGCGCAGGATCGAGTAGTTTACATCTGTGTACAGATACAGATATCACAGCACTCGTAACGGCAGTGCTAAGATCAAAAATACTATTCAACTCTGGTGTCAAAACTTCTGAAGAAACATGAAGCTGCTCTTGATATCTCGTTTCAACGATATTAGCTTTGTTGCTTATCCTCAACTTGAACTTTGCTGCCTGCTCACATAATGGTAAGCATAAATCACGTCAAAATCTAACAAATGGCAGCAAAAAAAAAAGGTGAATAGCACATTAACATGCAATAGTTGCTATGGAGTATCAATCAAATTAACTGACGAGTGCGATTTTGACCAAACCATACACATTGACCATGATGGCAGGAGTTTACAAACACAGTAGATAGCCACCAGTGGATAACTCTTGCACTACCGATTGTCACAAGAAAGATGCTCACTATGTCCAAATCCACATAGTTCAGGTGTATTATTCAGAGCTTAACTAATAGTCCTTTCTTATCTCTCTAGTCTATAGTAAATTACCAAGTGCAATAAATTAACAAATTCAATAGATAACTTTCTTGCATTAAGGTATGCTCTATCATAAAAAAAAAATCACTCCAATCTTGGTCATCAAAGAATATATCCTGAAGTTCTATAATAGTTCTGAAAAAAAAAAGAATTGATTCTGCCTTTATGCTAAGGACATTTCACATTGAAAAAAAAAATCACCATGTTGCAATTAAGCAGAGAATTATAACACCCACTAACATAACAAGGATTTCCTTGTTGATTTAAAATGATTGACAAAACATATAGATATGCCGGTAATATTGAAAAATTCAGAATGTAAGAGTTACACAAGCATTTCGCCCCAGTATACAGGGGAAAAAGGACAGACAAAAAGGCCACATGTAAACTACTATGAATTTGAGTAATTACCAATCCGAACTCGCAGCTTTCTCTCTCCAGTAGAGGGCTTCTTCTTCATGTAGCAGCTGTTCCAATCACCTCCATCCTGAGAGTAGTAATCCATTGGGTACTCCCCCCCAAAGTCCTTGTCAGCACAACCACCATTGCTGCAACCACAATCTGTGGAAGTTCCTGATCCTGAACAACAACCGGTGGCATCTCCACTGCCACATTCCCTACTCCCCTTCTCCCACCATCCAGGAACATAGCCCAGTGCAACATCAAACTCGAATGTCGTCAGCATTGGCTTCTTGAATCCTTCACCCCAGTCAATCGACAAACGTGGGCATGCAATCTGCACCCACGCATCCACCGAATCCCCAAACAGCTCCATCCTTGCCGGGGACAGCTCCGACATGAGCACTACTGTGTGTTCCAGCCCTTTCTCCTCCAAATGCTCCACCACCCTGTCGAGAACTTTTACGCTTCCCTGCCGCCCAAGGGTGCCTAGTATAACTCCCCAACTCTTGGCCTTCCTTGCTGCCAGCACCGCCTCCTTCCTCGCTTGCTTCATCCCGACATGGTCATACTCCTCCAGCACAAGCACACCCAGGAATGGATCAAAGCGGTAGGCCTTGACCCCGGGATTGGCAATCATGAATGCCTCGAGGTGGAATCTCCCGTCTGCGACGAACACCACCGCTCCGACCCCCTCGGACCTTTTCAGGGCAGGTGCTGTGCACCCAAGAACCTCGCCGGCGGACAGCGGCTTTGCCTGTGGCACGACGATGCCCTGGTAACCATCGTGACTGAGGATCTCACGCGCTGCGTGAACTGCCGAAATGAACTGCACGGTGCCGGCGATGGCGAGGCGGGGCGCATCGGCGGGGTCCGGGAAGGCGGCGCGGACAGCGTCGGCGAGGCGTTGGGCGTCGACACGGATCTCGACGAAGACGTAGAGCACGGGGAGGAGGGAGGAGGTGACGGGGACGAGGCAGGAATGGCCGTAGTGGACGAGCACGTCGGCGGCGAGCGCCTTGGCGGGGCGGTCGGCGAGGCAGCACGCGCCGTAGGTGGGATCGGCGAGGATGAGGACGTCGTTGGAGGGGTCCGGCTCGAGGAAGGGCGCGAGGAGGTGGGAAAGCGGGAGGGAGAAGAGGAGCAAACCCTCCGGAAGCTGCAGCGCGGTGCGGCGGGCGCCGGAGGAGCGGATGCGGTGCGCCGTCTTGGGGAGCTCGAAGTTGTACGCCGCCGGGAGGAGGCCGGTGGCGGCAGCGGCGAGGGTTGGGTCGGAGAGGATGGAGGGCGGGATGGGCGTGTGGACGAAGCGCTTCGGGGGCGGCTTCCTCTTTGGTCCCTGCGCGGCGCCCGTGGCAAGTACCAGCGAGTCCGAGGTGGAGGTCTCGCCGGCGTCCATGGCGGCGGCGGCGGCGGGTGGGAGAGAGCGGCGGCGGCGCGAGGGTTTGCTTCTCCAGAAGGAGAGAAGAGAGGGTATCAAAGGTTCACGAAATTAATTGGGCCGGACACGTGGGCAGAAAGCCCAGGAAGGCAAAAAGCCCACGCGGTCCGCGATCGCCGTCCGCTTCGCGCTGGGGCCCAATCCAACGGCCCATCGCTTTCGATCCAGGGAAAGTTGCGTGGCTAACCACACATCCACTCAGCCGAAAAAAGTGCAGGCCACGTGGAAGGGAGGCCAACTCCGCGGCCATTATCCATTCATCTCTCAGCCCCAAAATTTCTCAAAATTTTCCAAAAAAGAATTTTAATTTGATTTTACAATTTCTAGTCGACTTGTGAGCCGGGAGAAAAACGGAGGCCTCCAGTTTGCTTCATCGCCATTGGAGAGGAGAGCTCATCGGGTGCGGAGAAGGGGAGATCGATGGCGACGTGCTCCCGCCCACTCTTCGTCCCCGCTTCCGCCGCCGCCGCCTCGCCGTCGCCGGCCGCAAGCCGTCGGGGCGCTCCTCTCGTACGCCTGCACGCGGTAACTGCTCGCTCTCGCCCATCCTCCATCTCTGTCGCTCCTGCTATGGCCGCTGCTACTTTTTTTTTTCTTTTTGTTCGTAAACATTTGGACGCGGAATTGCCGATCCGTGTAGTGTTTTTATGTGGATGGGTGCGAGTGTGCGACGTGGGAAGGAACTGGTTGTTTCGTGCTTCCGCTGTTTTTTGATTGATTACCTAGCTTGTAGTATGAGCGGGTGTGTGGAGGTTGCAGCCTGCAATTGCTGCTGGTCAAATTATGCCATCTAGATGCATATCTCGTTAGGTTGCAGTCATTTTCAGTGAGTGATTCATGGAGCAATAGGCGATTCTTCCATAAGTGGCTCCTAATTAGTACTACCTCTAGTCACAAATACAAGACGCTTCAGACAAATTAATCAACTAATGTCATATATAATCATCAACTATTTGCTTGCTTCAGATGGATATGATGTGCTTCTGCTTCACTCCCCAATCAACCTATAAGCTCTGCACCTTTTGCTTCTGTTTATGTTTATTCATTGTACCAGTCATCAGCAATTTAAGCCATTCTTTTTTCGTTCCTGAACTTTAGGTGGCAATTGTCTCGATATGGGAACCTCGTCGTCATCTGCGTGCTCACATGAGCCTCTGCTGTAAGGCAACGAGGAGGTCCAGTGGTGGTTTAACTACTGGACATCCTATCTCCGCATTGCCGCGGGCAATAAAGAGAATACTGTCAAGCTATCCTTCCCTGCTCACCAGCCTGGGTGGTAATCTTGCTCGAGGCTACAAGGCAGCCAAGCCCTTCCTGTCAATTGGCTTTGGCCGTGTGGTTTTGGGGATGGTGCTCGTCATGTCTGTATCTGCAGCCACCTATACAGCACCTTCATGTGAGTTCTCAGCTTTGGTTCAATATGTAGCTTTCATTCTTGCTCTATGTCCTACTTCTACTGACACTTGTGTCTAAAATTTGTTGTTGGATATCCAAGCATTGGCACTCACGGAGGAAAATTTGCTTTTTCTGGAGGCTTGGCGTGCAGTTGATCGTGCATATTACGACAAATCTTTCAATGGGCAGAGTTGGTTTAGATACCGTGAAAATGCTCTCCGCAATGAACCAATGAATACACGGGAAGAAACATGTATGATTTTTTTAATGCTTTTCTTTCTCTTTCTTGGTTAACATTTTCTATTGCCCTTCAATAATCTCTGTGACAAAAATTACTTTTATGTGCCAAGCTGAAGCTTTAGGGTACTTCTGATACATCATAGATCATTTTATTTTGTGGAAAAAGTATAAACATGTCGAACAGTTATTAAGTAATGATTCAAAGTGCGCCTGTCAGTGAGGATATAAAGAGTTCTTCCAGAGGCTTTTTTCTATAAGGCTCCAAGTTTACATATTATATGGTGTTGAGTTCTGACAGACACTAGGCTGGTCGAGTTAGGTGGGCCAAGGCTGGAGGGGTCCAGCATCTAAATGGGCTAGGGAGTAGGTAGCACTTTAGGTTAAAACTAATTTCAGAGATCAGAAAATCTAACTTAAATATGTCATAAATATGTGAGAAATGAGAACTTGTTTGAATTTTGATGCCGTTCAGTCAGTTTACTTGAGCACAACTGCATTTCAGATGCTGCAATAAAGAAAATGCTTTCAACATTGGATGACCCATTCACTCGTTTCTTGGAACCCGAGAAATTCAAGAGTTTGCGGGTATGAAACTCAGTCTTTGATTGTCAGAGAAATCATAGCTGTGTGTCATAAACCGCTTTTTAATTCATACCATTATCTTTTTTGAAGGAAGTCTGGCTCGCAAGGAACACTCACAGGTGTAGGTTTATCAATTAGCTACCCAATGGCGCTAAATGGATCTCCTTCAGGGCTTTCTGTTATGTCAGCAACCCCAGGAGGTCCTGCAGAAAATTCTGGTATTCTTCCTGGAGATGTAATATTGGCAATTGACAACAGAAGCACGGAAGATATGGATATATATGATGCAGCACAACGCTTACAGTAAGACCAACTACTAACTATCATGATCAGTGTCTGAACTGCATCTGAAGTGCGAAGTTGTCTGTCTTAGATTTTCCTTCTCTTTTTTTTCTTTTTTTTTTTTTTTTTGCATTCCAGTGCTACTTGAGTAAGTTATTCCCTTACATCTTTGCTAGGGGTCCTGAAGGAAGCTCAGTGGATTTGGATATTCGTAGTGGGTCCAATACCAGGCATGTTGTTCTGAAGTAAGTTCCTTCCCATGATCCCCTTGTAGATCTTGAAAGCAAACAGTTACTTTTACTTCATTGGTCATTGCATTGTTTGATTTATCATAGGCGACAAACTGTCACTTTAAATCCGGTAAGGTCGAGGATGTGTGAGATTCCAGGTGCAAAAGACAATTCAAAGGTTGGTTACATTAAATTGACAACTTTCAACCAAAACGCCGCAGGTTAGTGACTTTGAGTGGTTCTAATGCCTTTATAAAACACCATATATTTCCAGATGTTATGTCCTGCTGATCATATTAATTGATTGTCTTCTCCCAGGATCTGTTAAGGAAGCACTTCAGAAATTAAGGGAGAACAATGTGAAGTCTTTTGTGTTGGATCTGCGGAATAACAGGTTCGGACTTGCAGAAACAGGACTGTGTTACACCTCGTTTTATGGAAATCTCAACATTGTTATGTTTCACGCAGCGGTGGCCTTTTTCCTGAAGGAATCGAAATTGCAAAGATTTGGTAAGCTTGTTCACCTCGTATTTTCATCCATAAGCTGTCTTCCTACACTTCTTTTTTTGGTTCCTGATTTTCCTAGTTATATTGAAGCATCAATATGTTGCTCGTGGTTTGTCAGGATGGACAAGGGTGTTATTGTATACATATGTGATAGCCAGGGTGTTCGTGACATTTACGAGGCAGATGGAATTAGTACGGTTGCTGCATCGGAACCTTTGGTCGTGCTGGTATGTTCTGTTACTGCTCAATTAGACAATGGGAGATGAGTTTAACTAATTTATCTGAGGGTGATGGTCTTGTCTGTTACTTATTCCTGTGTTGTACCTTTACTATTCCCCACAATACGATCAGGGATGAATATATATAACATACCTTACATGACATTAGGATGTCACCTTCTGAATATGTTAGGTAAATAAAGGGACCGCAAGCGCAAGTGAGATCCTTGCTGGAGCACTGAAAGACAATAAAAGGGCAGTGATATATGGGGAACCAACATACGGCAAAGGGTACTGCCCTTCTTTTGTTTTGAACTTCTGATATAGTATCTCTGTAGTTTTCTCTGTCTGTCTCGGTATCTCACTCTACTTGCTTGCCAATCTCCAGGAAGATCCAATCGGTGTTTGCGTTATCTGATGGCTCTGGCTTAGCTGTGACCGTTGCGCGCTATGAAACTCCCGCGCATACTGACATAGACAAGGTGAGCATTGCGCAATAGCAGCATGTCAATGGCGAAAATTTTCGTCAGGAAGGCAAGTGTGATCAAGGAAAACGAACCCTTTTTTAACTCCAGTTGCTTGATCCTGTAAACGCTTTACTTTTGTAGGTCGGCGTGATCCCGGACCGCCCGCTGCCGGCGTCATTCCCCACGGATGAAGACGGCTTCTGCAGCTGCCTCAGGGACTCCAACTCTGCCTGCAATCTTAACGCTGCTCAGCTGTTCACAAGATGACGACGCCAGGGCTAGAGAAAGGCTCAATTTGGCCAAAAAAAATTTTCGCAGTTTGGACTGACCGAGTTCCATCAAACCATGTTAATTGTTTATTTGTTTTGTTTAACGTTTATCTAGAATCCCAATTGTAGCTTCCTGGTGGAATCATGCAGTTAAATGTCACTGTAAATCATGTTTAACTGTAAATCATTTTTTCCCCCGCTTAACACTTGGGAACACAGATACACTGGGAATTTTACAGTATTGATCGAGAAAATTCTGAACCCCCCATATGTAAGAACAACAAAGATCCCAACAATGCAGTCCAAAACCTTCAGTTGTACCGAAGCCTCAGCAACACAGAGCAAAACCTTGACCTACATCATTTAGAATCCTAATGGACCATCGCTAACCCAAAACTCTAAATCCAGTGGCGACGTGAGCTTGAGCGTCGCAAGCTTTTGATACACGCATGAGGACCATCTTTGTTGGTCAACACATTGTAGGCCATCATGAACCTATAGATCGTAAGATAATTGTGATTAGAACAACAGTCATGAATCACTGTAACAAAATGATGCAGATAAATGTATAGAGGATTGACAAAATAGACAACACAGCAAACTAGTACAGCCGATCAATAGAGAGGTGGTACGCAAATCAAATGGTTTCATCAGCATGCGAAGAAAAAGAGTGAATTCAAAACTACTTCCAAGGTTATTCAAACACTGGTATGAGTTTTAGTTGTCTTACAAGTTCCAATAAATTAATTGTATAGGATTTCAATCCATTATAGATATTAGACAATGTGCGTAAGATATCCTTGTTTGGACCCAGGGGAGAAAACTCAGTAATTTTACCTTTTCTGTTAGCAAAGTCACCAAATCTATTCCACTTTTGCAACTTTCCTTTGCTCTATTTGGCCCGTCAATTCGCATTGCATCTCAGTCCAACTGATCGGGACTAGTGTACCACCTGGAGCAACACAAAGCAGCCACATTACAGAACACTACTGGGAACAATTGAAACTATTTCACACACACACATTGCATGATGTATCCTTCAGCTAAAAATCAATAGTGAGTAATTTGGCACTCCAATATTAGAAAACACCTACCAGTTATACTTTGTGCAGAAACAACTCCGAGTTCATTCTGGGCAGTGGAAAGGTAATATGCCCTTGCATCACCAAGAGAGAGCTTTAAGATGATTTAAGGATGCCAAGCCAATCAAAATTATCAAGTAGCTTGTCAAGACTAGAAGTTGATATGTAAATAATCACATGCAGACAAAATACTTATAAAATAAAGTGGCTTAAAACATACAAATGTACATCAGTTCATAACCAAGATTAATCAAATAGGGGCACCATATTTTCCCCTTAAGGATACAACCAGGGCTCTGACAATATCACCAGGTCGGTATGACTGAAACATATCCACCTTGTCGATTTCAGTTGCACGAACATCTTGCTGCCTACAAACAGAGGAGCATAGCTGAACCATGAAGAACTTTGTTGTGATAGTCTAAAAGGAACATATGGCAAGCAGGAGCATTGGATTGTAAATGTGTTTGGTAACTGACTCAAAGCGAAGCAATACAAGAGATCCCTGAAAAAGGTTTAAATGGAAGCATATCAGCAAAGAAAACAGAACCCGTACCTTATCATGCCAGTGAACTTTTCCTTGACAGCCTTTGAGTCAACACACATTATATCTGCAGAAGCCATCCTAGCCATAACCTTCGTCACCTGCAATGTCAGCCAGCACATGCAAAATTATGAGCAGTTACATGCAAAAGTATCTCAGATAATCCCTAAACAGCAGACAATTGACCAGTGCCACTAACCAAAACAGTGTATACGCCAAGAAAACAATGATAGGGAAAATGTGACACTAACATCATCATAGATCCTCAACTCAACAAGAAAAAAGTGGAGGTGCTTGAAGCGTGCTTCTGTAAGATCTCTCACGCATTTAGTTTGTAGAAAAGGTCAATAAAGAGATGTTACAAGCAGAATGTTATGACCAATCCATGAAACAATACTAGATGTTGTCTAGCTCAACTTATAAAATGAAGGAAAGTGCTCAATACATCTTGAGGATAAGCTGGACATCACAAACCTGTAACACAATTTGAAGTCAATATGGCGTCTCAAGTTCAAGATGACATTATGAAACCTACACTGAAATGACATTATGAAACCTACACTGTGACCCCAAATATATACATCACCACAAGGTGTGTGGTCCATCTGGGTGTTGGTACACTTACACAAAGGATGGCTGTGACATGCAGCGTGCTGGGTTTTGAAAAAATCAAGTGAACCGCATACCACCTATGCCACAAGGATGCCAGAATCCACATTATTGCAATCATGGCATTTGACTAGCTATTTGCTGGCTCGGTTTCAAAAATCATGGCATTTGATGGCTACACGCATCGTCACATCCACACAAAATCAACAGGGTATACAACAATAAGCTAACAATTTCACAGGTCACACGAGTCAAACCAACGGTTTGCTCAGAGATAGATCTTACACGCGCAATGACGACGCTTCCCGGCTGCGGCACAGCTCCATGGGCCTTGTGCCCGACCACCTCCACCGTGGACCTCTGCAGCCAAAATCGAACCAACCAACCACGCAGACCATCAGAAGAGGAATCCGAGGCGCCACCAAATCCAAAACCCTAGCTGAACCCTACCTGATCGGTGGAGCCGGGAGGAGGCGGCACGAGGCGGCGATGGCCAGTGATGGACGCGCGCACGCAGCGGCCGTCGGCGTAGGCGCCGAGCCCCGCTAGGAGGGACGAGTTGCCGAGGAGCTCCCCAGGGGTGACCACCTCGCCGCCGTCGTGGTCCATCGCCGTGGCCGCCATTGGAATTTGGTTGGGGGAAGAGGGGAGAAGCGGGGGAAGAGGAGAGGAGAGGAGGGTTTCGGCTTGGGATTCGATCAGAAAATTGGGCCTAAAAGCCTTTTGAACCACGGGCCTTGTATGTTGTCTTCGTAATGACAAAATTTGCGAAAATTTCACGGGAACTGAACAACTTTGGCCTGTTTAGATCTCATCTCAAAATTTTTTATCCTATCACATCAAACGTTTGAACACCTGTATAAAATATTAAATATAGGTTTAAAAAACTAACTAATTACACAGATTACGACTAATTTGCGATACGAATCTTTTAAGCCTAATTGCTATATGATTTGACAATGTGGTGCTACATTAAACATTTACTAATAACGGATTAATTAGGCTTAATAAATTTGTCTTGCGGTTTACTTACGGATTATGTAATTAGTTTTTTATTAATACCCGAACACTCCATACGACACCATATATGATACCCGATGTAACACGCCAAAACTTTATACCCCTGGATCTAAACACCCCCTTTATGTAAAACTCTGTATAAAATTCATGGGATTCAAAGGAGCTCATGGGGTGAAAAGACAAGATTAAATCCAAAATCCCAATAATTTTAATTTCTCTTACCTGGCTTTTGGAGAGAGAAATAAATATCTCATCTATCCCAAAATATAAGACAATCACCAATAATGTAAAGACCGAGAGAAAAATTTAATCACCTCCTCAGTTATATCACCTCGATGCATGCAAGTAATATGATTGGAGATTTGATGGTAGAGGATTTAAAACAAAACCAATTTTAAGGAGAAAAAGATGTTAATTAATGTATGCATGTATGCACACCTTATATATTATAAGATATAAAAAAATATAATAAGATATGAAAAAAAATGATTGTGACTTATATTTTAGGATGAATGAATGGAGTATGTGCCATGGGCAATATTATAAAGATGTGACAAAAGAAAAAGTGATTGTGAATATAAGGATGAATGAATGGAGTTTGTGCCATGGGCTCAAGCACAAACACAAATCCCAAGCATGGGAGAGATCACAGAATCTCCAATACGCAAGCAATTACTCGGAAGGAATGCTAACACGGTAACACCTGACATGTACAGCCTCGGCAACGAGGGGAGGGTCGAATAATCGAATTCTTTAACAACCCATTACAACATGATGCCCAGAATTCTGGCAAGAAATTTTCCTACCCAGATTACACAAATCAGAGATGCATGAGGAATGAACCGCAAATCGCAAAATTAGAGAGCACCTGCCAACCCCATATCCTCATTTGCTTCTTTGGGGAGGCAGAAATTAAGGCAAATGAAAACATCATCTATACTGGCGGTCACCAGGATTGTCGGGAAAACTGTACACTAACCGGAGGCAAGAATCAACGAGAGGTAAAAGAAATCCCCCCACAGCCTCAATCCCAAGTCAACTGAAGCTAACAGTCTAACACTAGATTATTAATCAATGGCGAGGCAGCTGGCCATGCTCGCTGAAGCTACCTCTAGACCGGTAAAATGAGGCAAGCTTTTTCTTCATCCGGATGGGTCCTGATCTATTCTGCAGGGCTGGTGATTGTGCATGACCACCTGTTGACAATGCAAAGCGGGGGTCACGCGCTCCTTCGATCCTGCCAGAGCTGTATTCCATGGTAATAACTGGTAGGGGGTTCCGGTTGTCAAAAAACCCAGAAGGATTTGAGCTTCTATTCCACCAGCTACCACTACCGCTGTCAAGGGCCAGGGCCCCATGGTAGTCATCGTACTGGTCACACGATGAGTCCCTGTGGCTGTAAGAATCATCGCAAGCCGCCTCCGCATCATTGTAAATAAGCTTCAGTGCCTGCACTACTTCACCCATGAATGGCCTCTGTGACGGATCATTGTGAACACACATGGAAGCGATGGATGCTACTTTAGCTACATCATCAAAGTTGAAATTGCCATTCAGAGAAGGGTCGATCAACCTCTCCAAACCCTCCTTATGGCATAGCAGAGGACGAGCCCAAGTCACAAGGTTCTGAGGACCATTGGTATCAGACATGCATACGGGCTTCCTTCCTGATAAAAGCTCCAGCAAGACAACACCGTAACTGTAGACATCACTCTTCACAAGAAGATGCCCGGTCATGGCATATTCTGGAGCAACGTACCTGTTCGATCAAATAATAAATTAACTTCTATGGGACAGGGAGTAATTAAATGAAATTCAGCAGCAAGTTACATTTTGTCTATCCTAGAAAGGTGTGGTTTGTCAAAAACTCTGCAAGAGACTGGTATTGTTTTGACATTAAAATAGCATGAAGAACCATACTTGGAATTTGGAAATAATCAACAAAATTCTAAGTCTATTTACAACAGCAACAAAAAAGAACGAAATTAGGAAGGAAGATTAGTAATAACCACAAAAGGGGCATGATTTCACCAAATACAAAAGAATGAAGATTGCGTATCACTTTTATCCATTGAAATAACAATTAATGACATCATCATAGCAGATGGATATAAGCAAAATGTGCCTTACCCAAAAGTACCCATTACCCTAGTAGAAATGGGTTGAATTCCATTAGTTGCCTCCCTTGCTAAACCAAAATCAGTAACCTTAGGAGTGAAATCTTCCTCCAACAATATATTGCTGCCCTTGAAGTCACGATGTATAACATGAGGGTTTGAGTCTTCATGTAGATATGCTAAGCCTCTAGCTGCACCCAGAGCAATTTTCATCCTAACATCCCAGTTCAGCATGCCCTTAGCCTTATCAGCACCTTTTAAAAAAAGAGAATCGGTTAGCACAAAGCACTTTGTTGGCATGGCTCAGAGTAACAAATATTTAGAACATACCATGAAGGTGAGATTCAACACTTCCATTGCGTATAAGCTCATAAACAAGACACCTTTTGTTGTGCTCAATGCAAATGCCAATCAATTTGACAAGATTACGGTGATGTAGTCGACTGAGCATTTCAACCTCCGCAATGAACTCTCGATCACCACTCCTGTCTTCTCTTGTGAGCAATTTAACAGCAATCTCGTCTCCACCATCCATGGTCCCATGGTAGACGCGTCCAAACCCACCTTGACCCAACACTCTTTTTGAATCAAAACCATCAGTGGCCTTTTCAAGCTGGGAAAGTGAAAATGTCTTTACTGATGTTGTGCAAGTTGCCACTGTTGAGAGCATTGACGCCGATGCAGAGCTCACCCTGCTAACAGACAAAGTTGATCTGCCACCTACATTACACATAAAAGCTGTTTATTATAGCTGGAGAGTTTACATTGCAACAGTTTAGTGTACTGAAAAGTGAAAATTTTCAAATTTGTTGACCAAAAAGTGAAGCAAAAGCACATAGACATATAAAGGCCGTGAGAAGACTGTCTGAAGCCATTTCTCATATTATTCTAAATAGTGTGTGTAGTCAAACATACTTCTTATTGCAACCTGAGTATAAATATTTTAGTTTATCAATGGAAATGCTCAATCTAGATGTACATGATCATATTTAGCTGGCATGCATGCAAGAAATTCTTTTCTTACAAGAGGAAATGACTCTGAGAAATCATTAAATGGTACTTCCCATGCAGACCTACATGCAACACATGGTCTACGAGCACAGCAATTAATGATAAAAAAATCGGAGTAGAATATTTTGTCATGCAGACCTCTTGCAACACATACAGACTTTCTGTATGGTGCAATTTAGATTTTCATCCATTAAGCGGTAACAGAATCAGTTGCGGTGGACAATACTATACAAACAATTTAGTGTTTAAATTCCCACTCTGCCCAAACACACTGAAAAAGTGCATTATACTTCAATAGGCTTTGAAATAGGGTGCATCATTAAACTGAATTAGCATGGAAAAACTACGAGAAATAGGGATACTTTTGAGAGGGTGTGTGGGCGGGCGGGCGGGCGGGGGGGGGGGGGGGGGAGGAGCAAAGAACAATAGAAGCAATACTAAACAAATAGCATAGTAACTACAGAAGGAATTAGGAACATTGTCATACCATATCTTCTATTAACTGCTGGGGTAGTTGCAGGGCTCACAGCCTCCTGAAGCTGTCTAAGTTTATACCATTTTAATAGTAAAACCCCAAGCCCAATGCATGCTGCTATAAGTGTGATAGAAGACCCTGCAACTACCACAATGATCCATGAATCTAATTTCTTGTTCTTCCCATGGTGCACATCAGCGGTTATTGGATCTTCTCCGGTTCCTGTTGGATCAGATCCATGAGATGTCTCAGGCAGAGATGGTGGCGGAGATCGCAAGCCTGTAGTGACAACGATGAATTAGTGAAACATATAACTTGAGGCGCCCAGACAGACAAAAGGCAGGCTTAAGAAGCAAATATTCATTGTATAGGTTTTACCTGGATAGGTAACATTTATAACTTCATAATCTCCAAAAATAGATGAATTGATCTGAATCTTATTATTCCAGAACCTATCAGATATCAGGGAGGCAGTATAGCCATCAAACTGTTCTCTTAGTGGCACCAAATAAATGGTAACCCTGGTCTTCTGGTCATCCTGGATACTTGGAATTGCAGCCATGATCTTCACCTGGCTTTGTTTAAGAAACGTCCCAGCTGCAACTTCAACTTCTAGTTCTGCTATGCGCATGAATAGCAAATATGGAGCTACATCCAGATCAACAATAACACAAATAGGCAGCACACAACCACAGGGGGAGCCAATCGGTGTTGTAGTCATTGGATCAGAGCAGTTATCAGTACAACCTGCCAAAGATACAAGGAACTATTAGTAAAATAATATGAGAAAGCATGCAACGATGCAAGCATAATTTAGTTCCAAAAATACTCGTTGTGAATAGCAACACTTCATATAAAGAATTATCCACAGAATGGGCTCACAATACCATGTTGAAGAAATGGACCTTAGATCACAATCAAGCAAAGTATATGCAATAGGGCTACAGGTTTGCATAAGACACCTATACTTATTGGAAGATAACAGCACAACGATACATATACAACTAACGAAAAGAATAATATCAAAGTTTTTGGTGTAGCAGTACAAGGATGCATGAGGAAGTTTCCTGAGCCTCAGGAGCACCTAAATTTAAACCTTTCAATAAGAAAATTCAATAGTTTGATATCGCAGATAATGGTGCCATCAACCACACCCAAAAAAAAACCCTAATCTAAATCTGATCTAAACATCAAGAAAAAACAAATTCTGCTGCTCTGAAATAAAAAACAAACTGTTGCTGAGCTTTTTTTCTGCTTTGTACACAAGTCATGTGTGTGGAATGACAGATGACAGCATTAACTATGTTGCCAAAAATAATCATAACTTTTCAAAAGTTTTAAATTGCATTGAAAACACCCAAATTTAGATGCTCCCAGAGAATAAGAAACTTCCTCTAGGATTCATGAAAAGATTAGAGCATAACAAACCTTGTGGAAGGGGAGATGGGGATGGCGAATGAGGATGATATGGTCTTCTGTGGTGCTTGTGTGAAGGAGGGTGCACCGGACCGCCTGTAAAAAATAAGCAGATATTAAACAGCTGATGGGAAATATAAAGTTGGACATTATATGATGGATCCTGTAGCATAGAAGTTCTCAAAGATACATACCAGTGGATTCTGGAGACATTGCCCTTGGAGAAAATGCTGGAGAAATTCGGGGCCCTAAAATTCTTGTATCAGGGGAACCTGATGGATGTGGAGCTGGACTAGGCAGTGCCGTAGCTGGAAAATCAAGGTATTAGGTTTGAAGTTCAGGGGAAAAAAATTGAGGCAATGGGAGAAAATACTCTACCCATCATATGGCTAGCATCATGTTAAGAGTAACAGTATATGTACTTCCAAAATATTACTTAAAGCAGGCTCAGGCCATTGTACTTGGGACCTACATAGGCATTGGTCATTGGCAGTTTATGTTTCTAAAACAAGAGTATATAAAGTGGAAAAGATAAAACATCAGATCATTGGTTTAGATTCTGAAAATGCTGGAGGTTTTGCATATGTTATCATAATGCATGTTACACTTGTTATCTTGCTACGACACAGCACATTAACTGGAGATCAAGCACTAGCTCAGGTGGTGCAGGATTCCCACAAGCGCTCAAACCCTAGGTTCGACGCTGGTGTTTGCCTTTCTACTTGAATTAAATTGGTAGGATGTAGGTACAAATACAAATGTATTTGTAGTAGGACTGTGCATACCAGAGCACCAGAGATATGTTACAGGTGTGTATGCGAGCATGTGCGTGTTGTGGCATGGGTTGGGTGTGTGCAAGTCGTGTGCATCCTACTTTTACCTCTCAAAAGAGATAACAAAAACAAGACATTAACTGAACTGTTTTCACTAAAATGGAAAGAAAACGTGAAATAACCTTTTGATGCTACTACTTTTCAATTGTTGATACAATTAGTGCCCCTGCAAAATATGGAAGTTTACGTGACAGTTCATATGTCTAGAGATGACTAGAAAGTTGGTTGTTAAATCTAACATCCTCGTTCAATATGGTGAGCTGCATTTGGTTTATGGTAAGCAAATGAGCAGAGAAATAGATATCAAATTCATTACATGTTTCAGAAGGTACCAGTGTTAACAATTCACAACCAAAAAAACAATCAAGGGAGGGCATATTGTCGATAATGATGCTAGAGGAGTGGGAGACAGGTTTACACTTTTGTTTTTATTCGAAATGCGCGGGAACGTGGCGTCCTACATTTATGTGTTAAGAAAAGACACAGACGACCGTTACGATTCATGTACAAGTACAACCTAAAAGGTCAGATTTGTACTACTTTAGCGCTATTCCGCATTCCTAATTTAAGATCTCATGCAGAACTCTATTGGCTGGTTTTGTCGCGTAGATGGCACATGTGCTGCAAATACAAATTAAATTCCCATGACGTAGCGTAATGGCGCAAACCGGCATTCCCATAGTCAGGTGGAATCCAAGCATGCTGGCTCACTGTCAGCTTCTAAGACTCCACACCCCCCCCCCACCCCAGATTCTCACGTGGGTAGCCTTGCAGGTGGAATCCCAGACCATACGCACATCTCCAGACGCATAAACCTAACTCACCGACACCATGGCAAGCATCAGAGCCCATTAGTAGATAATCCTCTGGCCAAAACCATCGATCACGCCAAAATCTACCATTTCTCCCCAGAGAACGTGCCGCTAACAGCAGAATTCCGCATCACGGCACAAAAACAGCACCCCTCACACCTCTCGCACACGACCGCGACCGCAGAATTCCGCGGACCCGAGTCCGTGACGGCAACATCGCGGCTTCGCCACAGATCTCCTAACAAAATGCAGCGCAATCCCCTCGCCCGAAAACCCAGCCCGCCTAGAACCTAGAGCAAGCCACCAACCCCGCCTCCCCACCAACGGCAGCAGAAAGCGAGAGGTGTTTCCCCAAAAGTAGTAGCGAGCGAGGAGGGAGATGGTATACCATGGAGCGTGTAGACCGCGCCGAGCATGAGCAGGACGAAGAATCCCCCGCCGCCGCCGCCGCCCATCTCGCCCGGCCCCGTCACGCCGCGCTACACCATTGCAGGAAGCGGCGCGGATCTGGAAGCTTCTGGAAGCGGGCGGATCGGCGCGGGGCTACTCTACTCTACGCTACGCGATGGGAGGAGCGGAGAGGAGAGGAGGAGGGGGGATGTGTGGGGGAATAGCAGCAATAAATTGGAGCGCATCCGCGGCTGCTCGCGTTGGTTGTGGTGGCTGCGCTTCGCTTCGGGCTTGTGATGGGGGATTATTGATGGATGGATGCATTAAATTTGGAGTGGAATTAATGAGCTGCTAATCGCGGGGTTAAGGGGGGGTGGGTTGGATGAGATAGATAGAGAGGAATGATTCGAATCCGGAGAAAGAAGAAAAGCAAAGCAAAGCAACGCAAGAAAAAGTTTACCGGTGGGAGGAGGCGCGAGGGAGGGGAGGAAGGACGGGGAGGTAGCCAGGTAGGGGGCCAGCGCCCACTGGCTGGGGTTCACTGTTCCTGCCAGCACTGCCGCTTGCTGCCCCCCCTGCATTACACTACTTCCACAGTAGTGGATGTGTTGTTGGTTCACTGTGGAGTGTGTGGTATGGATGGTCTCTTCGGTATGGGTTTTCTAGCTAGTGACTCGTGAGGTTTTTGATCGGCCTATGTTGTGAGGGTATGTTCTTTTTAGTGTCTCTTCCTATAATTTATTAGAGTAGGTTATATTATAACTGGGTTTAACTAGGGAACTTGAATCTTAGATATGCATAGGTTGTTTATGGAGCACATTCGCAGCTATTTTATTGCGGTTGCAAACTAACAGGAGTGTGTTTGTACCTTGCCTGGCTGTCACTGCTGTCGCAGCAAGTCGGCATACGCTCCTACCGAACAAGCCCAAAGATGATGGTGTTCGTTTCGACCTTCTACAATAAAAGATTAAGAATAGGTGAGTTACATATGTATATCGATGGTTTCAATCAAGGCGTTTGGTTTCTTTACCTTGAATGGTATTCATCAACGTAAAAGAAGATGTTAACAAAGGGACGAGGCATGGATTTTAGCGGGAAACCTAGGGCATTAATTGGTGACATGCTTTTTTTTTCTTAGGGTTTCTTTTTTTTTACCAAGTTTCTTTTTCCATTGAAATATAGATTGTTAGCATACTTTCAATGCACATATAAAACAAATATAGAATTGTGTAATTGCGGCTGGCCATAAAAAGTGGTGTGGCCAAAATTTTTTGTCAAGCGTGGCTACTTCATGGTAGGCGTTTTATAACAACTTGATCCAATATATGCATATAAACGTTTCTAAGACTACCATAAAAACATAGCGATAATATCATAATAGTCATAAATAAATCAGATTAAATATATATTAAAAAACAATATAAATATTTTAATTATCATGCAAAATCTAATTAACTATCTAAATGCTAAAATCTTTGGATGGCGAATGGAGCAAATTCAATATAATAATTATAGACGACCACATGCAAAAGGAGCGTTTGATTTTATACTAAGCGTGAGGGCCCCTGAATTAGGTCCTAGTCACATAGGGACGGTGCCCATCGTGGATTAGGAGAGCTTGTTCGGACCTTTACAATCTCATCGGCATCGTGACCTATGGCTATGTGGTTCACTGCTTTGACTTCCAATCGCTATGTCTAGAACATGGCAGTGCGATACTGGTCACTGGAGATGGGGCGATTAAGGATAGAAGGCTGACCAGCGGGGCACATGAGTGGAACGACTGCACAAAGGCATTAGCGTGTGACTATTGCAACAAACAAGAGGACAAACGAGCGACGATGAAATGCAAGGACTTGATGGCTCGGACGAGGTAGCTACCTTAGTGTTGGGTTGTTGCAAGCCAATGGGATATTGAGGGTAGGGGTTCTTCAGGCAAAAGTCGAGGGTAATCCTGTGTGCATATGGTTATGCCCTGGCTATAAAGACCTGACATTTTTAACATTATCGTCAACTTTTTAGGGAAAGTATATTGATATGTATATGCAAGGGATGTCCATGGTTGTTGTAGCAATATTGGAGAATAGATGAAGTTGTATTCCATGGAAAATTTAAATGGTATCATATGTTTTTTGGTGTTAATAATTAAAATGTTACCTTTCCCTAGTGGAGATGGGAGTTATTTTGTTGTATTAAGGTGGACCAAAAATTATAGATTACTCCCTCTATTTTTCAACATATGACGTCGTTAGCTTTTGGTACCACGTTTGATCATTCGTTTTACTTAAAAGAATCATATGAGTGTCGTTTATTTTTTGATGACTTGTTTAATCATTAAAAAATCTTTTAGGTATAACTTATATTTTTTATACATTAAAAAAGCTTTAAGCATTAACCTTTCAACGTGCTGAGGTTTGAGGACCAAAGAACGGCGGTTTGAGGTTGGAGCTGGTTTCTGTATGAACTTGACGCCTTCCGGAAGAGGCCGGGCGGTGACGGTGAGACAGCTATCCGGTTCAGCAGTGGAACAGTAGTACAGTAGACAGATGGGTACATGCGGAATCGTGCAAGAAAGGGTCCGGCCGGGAGAGAGAGCCTGCATGCATGCAGCAGCGTCAGAACGCGTATGCACGTTGACGACTTTTGTTGTGTCAAAAGCAGAGCGTCTTCTTCTGCCCTGTGTAGTACTAGACCTGCGTGGCTAGCTTGTCATCACGGCATGACGGTATGCAGAAATGCAGTGCAGTCGTACGTGCAGAGATAGAGAGAGAGAGAGAAGCTGTTCGGATGCGTCTCTCTGTGTCTCTCGTTTTGAGAAGATCCAGCCCACTTGAAATTTCTATCTCGAGGTTTCAAATCCCAGGACAAATGAGGCCCATGTGATTTTTTTGGGCCAGAACGACAGAGGCAGTCGTAGTAGTAACATGGGCTTGCATTTGAGTATCAGCAACTACTGTGGCCCAAAATGCCCAGAGAAATTGATCACTGGCAAGTGACAGCGTGTAGTACTCCTAATCCTACTACAAGCGTCCAAATCTCCCTCCTTCCCTATCCAAAGGTGCTTGGAGTGGCAATCTCGTCGTGGCGCTGCAGGCTGCAGTGCAGCGCTGCCAGTATCAGAACTGTAGTCAGACGCAGTAGCAAGGGTGACGGCGACAAGCAGCAGCGGCGCAAAAGGTCCACCCGGTAGTGTAGTGTAGTGTACTCGATCGTGTGCATCGGCACGCCCAGGGCAAGCAAAAAAAGGCAACCAAAGCTGGAGACCCTCGCCTCTGAATTCTGATGATAAGTCTGATGGTTTGCCATGGCAAGTGCATGCTGCCATCCTGGCAATGGCATGCGTGGACAATCTGACACGCGGTACGTATACGCACCTAGTACTATGTACGAGATGCACGCATTGCATTTCATTACGCCGTACTGTGAACGTGGTACACAAATATTGTGTCGTGTCGTGTACATATGTATGTGTACTCGTGCTGGTCATCAAATCGTCGCAGGCCGCCAAGCCCGGAACCAGACCATCTTTTTTTCCCACACGCCATCCGTTACCTCCCTCCGACGCATTGCTGCTGGTCCTGCTGGATCGTCAGGCTTGTTGCGAGTCAGGCAAAAGGCGCTTATACCCTTCGTACAAATACTAGTACAAAATACTAGTAGTAGTATATTTCTACGATAACAAGGAGTACAGATACAAATAAAAATCACCATTTGTACGATGTTTGGTTGTATAATCTTTATATGAACTGATTCCGTGCCATCCGTCGAGGAGAGGAATATTTTTTTCGTAGGACTAGTACATACTCCCCCATAAAAAAAAAACCAAACTAAGAGCATGTTTAATAGCAGGCTATAAACCAGCTATAAACATATTTTAAGGAGATAAATAAGGAGAGAAAAGAGCAGCGGGCTATAGATTGTAGTCAGCTGTAGCACGAATTTCAAGACACAGTGTATGTATGACAGGTAGGACCAGATATTAATAGTGTAGTATGTAACTATTATCTGAATGAACTATTATATTGGCATAGATGAATTGGAGCTAGTATTTGGCTATACTATTAAACTTGCTCTAACTACGAATGGGATGTTACATAGTACTCCCTCCATCTATAAAAAGTTACACCTATTACTTTTGTCATCAATATTAAGGAGAAATTAAATCATTTTGGATGTTACAAAATCAATGAGTGAATGCAAGCATGCAACCAATGAGTATTTAGATGACTTCTAATAAAACATTTAATTTATCTTTTCATTTAATTCTTGAATGTATAAACACTATAAGTAGGAACAATTTATTTGGAAAAACTCAAATGTGAAATAGGTGTAACTTTTGTGGATAGATGTAGTACAACGAATTTAAACATGTCACATCGATTCGTTATACTATGTAATGTCCCGTCAGTATTTAGGTTGTTTTTTTTTTAAATGGATGGAGTACAGCCGTTAACAGAAACGCGTTTAGTCACAAAACTATTGTAAACAGAATATGGCACTTCTGCGATAGTAGTAGAAGAAATAAAAAGTACAAATACAAAGTACTTCTCCGGGAGACGCACGCAGTCGCAGGGACACGGCGCGGGTGCAGCGTGCAGGTGCGGGAGGGAGGCACGTCTCGCTGCTCACGAGGCCGCAACGCAACGCACCGGACACGACGTACCTTTTCACGCCCGGCCCGACCTCGCCTAGCCTTTCTATAGCTTGACCGTTGCGTGGACCCCACCTCCCCCTCCCCCCAGCCCACTCTCGCACGAATCTCGGCGCTATCCCCACCGTTCTTCCGGCGCCTCCCGCTTCTCCCTCGTGTGGCTCGCAACTAGGCTGGGTAGCTACCAAGACGCTTACTTGCTGGCCCTACCAATGTGGGGCCCCGGTGTCAGTGCACAAAGTGGGTG